GGAAAGGACTCTTTAAAGTAGAGACACTACATACTGATATACACCTGAACATCAGCAGGAGAGGACTCTTTAAAGTAGAGCCACTACATACTGATACACACCTGAACATCAGCAGGAGAGGACTCTTTAAAGTAGAGACACTACATACTGATATACACCTGAACATCAGCAGGAGAGGACTCTGTAAAGTAGAGACACTACATACTGATATACACCTGAACATCAGCAGGAGAGGACTCTTTAAAGTAGAGACACTACATACTGATATACACCTGAACATCAGCAGGAGAGGGACTCTTTAACTTATAAAGAGAATGTTTGGCCTTTTTTGCTTGAATAACAGTTGTCCTTTCCTTTAACCAGTAGTGCAATTTGACAATCTAGATTGTTTTGGTGTAAGTCCATGTACAACCCAGATTCTTATTGAGATACATGTCTATTAGCAAGGGACATTTACTCAATTAAAATCAAAACATACAACAATATAATAAAGAGAGAATCCTCTTGATAAATAAAACTCAATGTGGTCATCCTTTGTGGGAATCATGTCTGGAAGACATTAATGAATAGTTACCAAAGTAAAGTGTTGTATTTTCATAAGGCATGTAGTTAGACGAATACACATCGGTCCACTGTTTATGACTGATAGAGAAAGCTTGTTTACTTTTATCCCAAATTAACAAGATACCTATTTTGATCTATTTGTTGGTTGTGTCGTGTTGTATTAGTTAGATTTATTTTTCTCGTTGTTGCAGTTTTATGTTGCTGCTTGCTACAGTGGTGGGGTTCTGTCTGATTCCTAGTTATATTTATAAAGAAAGATAAATGGATATACTTTTTTTTTTTAAAAGAAGGAATAAAGCATTACATTTCACCTACCTGACATTTTTCAGCATGTACAGCACCTCGGAGGGCAGATGGGAGTTCTGGACATCAAACTCTGTAAGGTCAGCCTCCAGCAGACTGGGGGGGGGCTCCTTGGGCTGCAGGGTGGGGGGCTCCTTCCCGATGCGCAGGATCCTAACAAGACACACACATATAAAATACATTCGTTCATACTGACAGAATGGACTACTCTGATTGGCAGAACAAGTCTCTGAACCATCATTCTGAGATCATTTCACACACCTGTTCAACTTCTCTAAACACACTCGTATTTTATATTACGAATCTTCCTGTTTAATAAGTGCATGTCTGTTTATTTAAGTGTTTTAATGGAAATCCTGAATGGTTGTTTATTGGATTATAAAAGGAAGGATTTAGAATAACTCTAGGCATATGCTGTTTTTTTTTATTCATCATCTACATTAGATCCAATATTTAGTGATGACTGACACTGATTGTGTTTTCTCTATGTTAACATACCATCTTATCTTCATTGATAAAATAATCTTAACTTAAGGCACTTACTTGGACCTTGAGTTAAGATTGTCAAACAACTGTTTCAAAGATGTGAATGGCCTTTGAACCCTGGAGCTTATCGTGTGTTCAGAAAATGCTGAAAAAGGGACTCACTTGCGGGCGATCGACAGGACTTTGGTCCTCTTCCTCACTCTTTGCCGAGAAGCTGAGTTTGAACCAGAAGAAGGGACTGAAGACAGCGTCTGAACCTGCAAAGGGAAAAGTTTGTCGATTTGATGTGCTAGCATTCATTCCTCTCTTCCTTAACAAACGGACATAGTGATTACAAAATTGTAAAAAGCAATGAAAAAAGCATGTGAACACATTCATTGCTTCTCACGTTTTTTCAGCTCAGACTTAAGTTTGAGATGGCCGATTATTTTAATACTTAACAAATAAGTGGTTTAAGAACCACCAAGATCTAAAAAGTATACCGTATAAAAGTGGCTTAAAACTTGAAAAAAGTCAATTTTAAAAGGGGATAATGACAACATGAGATTCAACATGAGAAGTTGAATCGCTTTGTTAGCTTCGTTAAAAATAAATCTGAAAATTGTTAGGCACATTTGGGATTATGCAAAAACACAACTCAACCAAATATACAAGAAATGTCTGATTGTTTATAGACATTTAAATGCAGAAATGTTACATTTTTAACAATGTTTAAAAAGGCACTGACCTTTCTCATGATCTTTCGGCCGTAGAACATCACCTTGTCTCTCTTCCTGAAGCGATAGTGTGGAACGCCGGCCTGCTCCTCTGAAACACAGCAAGCATCCTCAATCAGGCCATAACATTAGTAAAGTAATGTAATGTAAAGAGGCCATTAGCAATCTACAGATTGTCTGTGCCCTTGACACCAGTTTAGGACTGATGCAGTAAAGCTGCCTGCTTAAATCACACTGCAGTGCCAGGGCCCTGAAATAACACAATTCATGCACTAACTACTTTTTTTGTATCAACTACCTGCACTATCACTACCAAATGACTGCCACGTTTCAGTAACCAGGTTCAACCGTTGGAATGCATGCTAGTATAAACTGTGAACCCTGAAAGATCTCTGCTATTGTAACAATCAGTCTCTGAAGCAACAACTGTTCAAGCATTAACAGTGTACCAAGTCTTTTTCTCATCCTGAAACATTTTAGAAACAGATGTAGTGTGAAAGCGAACAGGGGGTGCAGTGTGCAGGGCACTGACTCGACAGTTTGTATCTTCTGTAAAGAAGGAACACAACAACTCCAACAACAGAAACAACCGTCACAGCTCCGATCAGCACAGCCGTCAACTGCAACACAGACAGACAGAGGTTTTTAAATGAGCAATCTGCAGTTATTTAAAAAAAGAGATGACTATTATAAGAACCCTCTTATTTATATTACCCATCGACATGTTATGTGCTAAAAGGCAAAAGAGAAGTCATTCATATGTCGCCATTACATCCTTTTTTTCAGTGCACTTCAACACAAACCTTAGTGATATTCTTTAAATTAAAACTGTGGGTGGTTACCATGTTTGCCTCCATCCTTTCCTCCACAAGCTGCTGCATCCTGGCCTTGATCTCGCTGCCGAGTGGAAGCAGCATGCTCTGAAACATGAAGCACAGGAACAACACAGAGAGAAGAAACCGGCAGGCAGGTCAGGCTGTGATGGAGTGTCACTCAGAGCACAACAGGGGCTGGGGCAGCGTTCATTTGAAAATATGACAAGGCAACAACCTTATCATTTCAGTTTCAGAGCCGTAATCATCACGTGAAATACATAAAGCATAGCAGAATACTTGTTTTAAATGTGTCATGTATTTCATTTGGAAAAACACCTCTGAATGATATGCCGACTGTTATATCATACATCATATGCTTACAATAACTAGTGCAGTAACTATGCTGCGTTGCTGCAAAGCTGGAGCAACAATTGCTTTACCATTATCTATTCAAATATGACTTATATAAAACATGTGGCAGGTCCAAACTACATCAACTGGGTTACCAGAAATACACCCACAAAGTGAGAACAGTCCTCCAGATTGGCATGTTCTCTTGTGCAAATTAACCTTTCTCAAATTGTACAATTCTTGCAAGTGGTGAGGACAAAATTGGCCCTTTCCAAAAGTGGGGACATTTCCTCAGCGTCCTCAGCATCCCCAGTATAAATGAATGCCTATAGGTACAAGCCAGGGCTATGGATATGTATTTTCAGACAATACAGTGTAATGGATGGTGCTGAGGAGACTAACCGGGTAGATGCTGCAGCTCTCCTCTTCCTCATTCTCTGCCATGCCTGTTCCAAGAGACAATGCAGCACTGAAATTAGGCCATTTCTAAGAGTTACATGAAATAATTTAAACCAAAAAGTCAAACAATGAGAACATTTCATCAAGATAAAGATTGTGAATTTGAAACTTCAGAAGATGGTCACATAATGACGTGGTAGAACATTTTGATAAAGCATTTGCGTTAAAATATTAAAAGCCCGGGACTCGAACCATTGACGCTATTATCGCACGTGCCTTGCTCCACCCAAATTACCGAGACTATTTAAGAATCTGGGTTAAAGATCACCTACATGGCTCACGAGAAAATGGTCACAAGCTTCATGGCTGTAACCGAACACTCCCCCTCACGCTGTCTCCCCAGCACATTGCACGGGATAACGGGATCAAGCCTAACGTTACTTTGTTTACCAGATCCATCTGTGGATCACTTCTGTCACATATTTACACTCCATTTGTCTTAGTCTCTATTTGTGTGCCAATTCAAAATGAGCAATAATAATAAATAGGTGTTTATCAGTGCTTTGTGATCTATATGTCGAAATAAAAAGTGGATTTAGGCATTCACGTCGTATCCTATTTTGGTCCACGTGAGATAATTTGGCCAAAGGGAAATTGCCAGATATTTCACAAGTTTGGCGACAACAAGGAGCATCATATTCCTGGCTGACAGGATTCACATGCAGTAGATAAAGCACAATTACTCACACAGTTATAGTTTAATATGAACTTATAGTCAGTATAAGAGTGCGCAGAGAGCAAACGTTGCATGTAAAATAAACTTTGACATTGTTATAGCTGACTCTCACAGGGGGTGTCCGCTTCTGTGTGCAGTCCGTTACAAACACACACAGCAGGACAACCGAATGCGAGCTGAAAGCTACATTCAAAGAGTCTATAACTAATACAAACAAATTAACACTCAGCTATAGCCTACCCTGTTCTAAAGACCCGAAAACATATTTTTCCCAACGTACCTTTCTTTCTGGTGTCAAAGTTTCTGTGTATCTACAAACCTAAGAATAGTGTCGGACTGCTCGCTCTGAATGTCCTGCCACTCCTGTCAAAAATAAAAGCATCATCGTGGACCATGGACCAGAAAGAACTGGGCTCTGAGAGGGTGCAGGGTACCATTCAATAGCTACATGTTTTATTATTACACAGTATATCCATACATCAGGAAAACATTGTCAATAAATTAGATACACTGACTCTGCAGATACTGTTTTGCCTTCTTAGCATTTATTTTGAAGGGCCAGCTGTCGGTCTTCCAGGTAACTCTGGTTAACTTGACGCATTACAATCATTGACAGTCCAGTTCTAGTATCTCGGATTGTGATTGGTGAATGGTGTTACTTTTCGACCAATCACTGAGCATTTCATTGAGCAGTGAGTGCTAGCACATTGCTTCTGTTGGACAAACAGTGGGCTCAAGGTGAGAGGAGTCGAATTTTGTCATCATTTATGAGCGTATAGAGAGAACATTATGACATTTAACTGAACGGAAACACATGTTTTCGTGTAATAACGTAAACTGTAGTTTGCCAGAAGATGCAACTAACTGCAATAAGCTAGCTCGCATGTTATCGATAGCTAGCTAGCTAATGAATTCACTACAGAAAATGCAACGCTTTCTGTGTTTTTCCTCAGACCTAGCAATAGATATGTTACCAGAAGGCATTTTACTGCATGTGGAAACATGTCTTGTTATTAAAACTGTTTATTTCATACTTTGAATGTTAACAAATGGAGGTTAGCGTTTCATTAAAAAAGTAATGTTCAAGCTGGGGTTTCTTATAGTTTTGTTGTCTTCCCTAGATATTGGTGTTAGAAGTACTCAGATCAGGGATGCAAACTTGTCACCTTTCGGCCAAATTCGCCGTTTTGAATCCAAAATAGGTCGTTTGTGTGATTCGTGGAGATCTGCAATAAAAATATGTTTGGGGTGGGGGGGGTCTGGGACCATGGATGTATAATAAGAACTGGATACAGCGTGGGAGGCGGGGTCTCGATCTTTCCTATGAGAGCTGCTCATTGGAGCATGAAGGCAAAATGGCCCAACTTTTGAGAGAGCAAAACGTCACAGATTACCCGTCATTCCTGGCTAGAGCATGCGCAGTTGAGTTGCCCCTTAAGCCCCGCCCCCTGAGCTCCCACTCTCGGCTCACTAGAATGAATGGAGAGAAAATAAATCTAGATTCGGCTTTTAGTGCATTTTACAACTTTAAGGACTTAATGATTCTAATAAGGTCTATACAATAGTTCATACTGGGTAAGGCAAGGCAAGTTTATTTATATAGCACCTTTCAACACAAGGCAATTCAAAGTGCTTTACAAAAATGGAAGACATTATGAAAATGGCATTTAAAATCAGTAGTAGTTTATTTAGTTTTAAAAAAAAGTATCCGCTGATTTACAGACGTCTCCCATGTTAGTCAATAGAGTGCCACAGTGACGCGTCCTAAAACCCTGAAGTAAGCTGCGCATGGGTTCCTTGCAATGCAATTTCTCCATAGGATTTTGGAAAATAGCTCGAAATAAGGTCTGTGGTTGAGACACATTTAAGAGACGGATCACGTTTTGTTCAGTCGGATAATCTCCACATGTCTACCCTACTTTTATAATTTTCTAATCATAAATCTAATCGATAGATTTATGATTAGAAAATTATAAAAGTAGGGTAGACATTCGCAGCTTACTTCCGGGTTTTAGGACGCGTCACTGTGGCACTCTATGGGGAAAAGTCGTTTTGGGCCGGGTGACGTCACGGACTGATACGGAAGTTGCAGTACCGCCGTTTGGACACAACGAATGTTGTGCACAGAGTCCGGCGCACTTCCTGGGGGCTTGTCTGGGACCCGGAGTAATCTCCGGCCGTGAGCTGTTATGTGCCCTCTTGACGCGCATGGTGTTATTTTTTAATGTATTGTAATGAAGCGCGAGCTGTGTGCTCGAGTCTTCCTGTCTGTCGGCTCTGCTGCTCTGCGATGAGGGTCTAACTTCAGCAGCTACATTACCTACGGGTGCGTTCGTTAATAGTAACTGTGCGGAGTCACTGAGGCACAGACTGGACCGCTGGTGAACAGCTGTTAGAACAGTTCAGGTGTTCAGAGCAGAGCTCCCTGTCGGAGCGGCAGAGCGTGATGTGCAGTGAAAAGGTTTTCTGTCGCAATATTATTTAAGGAATCGTTGAGCTAGCTAACTAGCATACATTGTCTCTATCTGCTAACGTTAGCTTAGCCTTCATTTTCTAATAGTTTTCTTCATAGGCTATAAACAGAGGTAGTAGAAGTACTCAGATCTTGTACTTGACTAAAAGTAGAAGTACTCAGATCTTGTACTTCAGTAATAGTATAAGTACTCAGATCTTGTACTTGAGTAATAGTAGAAGTACTCAGATCTTGTACTTGAGTAATAGTAGAAGTACTCAGGTCTTGTACTTGAGTAAAAGTAGAAGTACCAGAGTGTAGGAATACTCTGTTACAGTAAAAGTCCTGCATTCAAAATGTTACTCGTAGAAAAGTATTCTCATCAAAATCTAGTGAAAGTAGCGACAGTAAAAGTAGTCATTGTGCAGATTGGTCCATTTCAGAATAATATATATGATATGTTTTATAATGATTGATCATGAAAGTGTTCTCAAAGCTGGTAAAGGTGCAGTTAGTTTGAATGACTTTGTATACTGCAGGGTAGCTTGTGAATTTACTCCAGGTGGAACTAAAGTCTGATTTAACACTTGATTATATTTCACATCATTCATCCACATCTGTAAAGTAACTAAAGGTATTAAATACATGTAGTGGAGTACACCATTTACCTCTGAACTGTAGTACATTAAAATATACTTAAAGTACCAAATGTAAAAGTAACTATTGTGTTTAATGTCCCATATTAGAATGATATCATTACTGGATTTCTTTTTGATGTATTCATGTGCTCATCACAGCTGGTAATCGGGGAACTACTTTTAATTTCTTTATGTACAGCTGCTGGATATGTTAACCTTTTATATATCATACTTTATTTATTAGCGTATTTAGTCAGTCAAGTCAAAGTCAACTTATTGTCAATCTTCTGTATGCAATACAGGCAGATCATCACAATGCCGTTTCTCACAATCCCAAGGAATAATAGTTAACATTTCTAAAAATACCTACATAATATTTTTATATTTAGTTTCAGCTAATAATCTGAATCTGTAGAGTGACTAGTAACTCATTTTGTCAAATAAATGTAGTGGAGTAAAAAGTGAAGTATTGGCCTCCAAATTCTAGTGGAGTAGAAGCATACAATACAAATACTCAAGTGAAGTAGAAGTACCCCAGAATCGTACTTAAGTACAATACTTGAGTAAATGTTCTTCAAGCCATTACACCACTGTCCACATGTCAAACAACATGTCTTCTCCTTTTCTCCGTCTTTTAAAGGAGGAAACGCTGTGGAACCATGGGGGTGTTATCCACGTTGGTGAGGGGTCTGGTGAGAGGTGCGGACAGAATGGCTGAGTTTACAAGCAAACGTGGATCAAGGACTCATAACAAAGGCAGGGGTGCAAGGCCCACTGGGCTGAGGCTGTCCAGCAGGAAGTTTCTGTCCATACGGACCATGATTCCTGAGTTTGTTGTGCCGACCTTGGAAAAATTCAAACTTAAACCTTACGTCTCATATCGCTCTCCTCGAGGAGTGGAGCCCCCCCTCACAGCAGAGAGTGTGTTTGCTGAAGTAGTGGCCCCTCAGATCAAGAAAGACTATAAAGATGGGACTTTCAGCAAAGAACAGCTGGAGAAATATGGATTTAATCCCAAGCAGGAGGGGAAGCTCTTCAAGCTGTTTCCAAAGAACTATGTTCGGTAAAGATGCATGCAGATTTTTGACAAAGAAATGTGATCAGACTGAAAGCGGTTGACAACTGGTGTGACACTTTCAGGAAAATTATCACACATGGGTCTGTGTGTTTAGAAAATTATTTCATGCAAGTGGTTGACATCTGGCAAAATAAAACCTGTAAGTCTATGACCCATACTGCAGAGTTGCATCAGTCACTGTCCAGAGGAGTAATTTCCTTATAGTTATTTTTAACTTTGTTCAGAACCCCTTGATTTCAAAGACCTTTTCACTCAGTGGCAAAGTTTATACATGCACAGTGAACCTTAACTTGTCAATGTAACTTTATTTGTCAGAAAGTGTAATGACTGCAATTAAAATGGCTTCTAAAAGTTTGTATTTAGTACTGTCATAACAGAGGCGTTCCATATTGTTTGATGGAGGACGTGCTGTGTGTGGTTGGTAATGTGTCACAATTTTCATTTTTACAGAACCACTGATCAAATAAGTTAAACACTGACCACTCTGTATATGGTCGCTTTACACAATGTAGACCTAGTTCTGAATTCGTTATCCAATACTTATTACAAATATTATTAGCAAAGAAAATTGTAAAAGTTAAATTTTGAATTCCTTTTTTTCTTCCCTCCCATTTGGTGCCCCTGGTGGATGGATGCTCCCTTAGCATTTGCTAATACTGTCTATGCCGCAGGCCGGCCCTGGGGCCTCATTTATAAAGGGATATACGCTCAAAAAATGGCGTACGCCAGTTTCTACGCAATGTTTGCGATTTATAAAATACTAACTTGACGGGAAAATGTGCTGTCCTCCACGCAAACTCTAACCCATGCGTACGCACTAAGCACAACAACGGGAGAGACGAGAAACTGCGACACCGTTGGCAGAAGGAAGAATGGAGAGAAATATGTGGAAATGATACCATAAATAAAATGTTACCTCATTTATCAAATATGAAGAATTCATTTTCAAATATTGATTAATTTAAAGCCAATCTTAAAATGATTAAACAAACGCCTGTTTGAGACTCCTCAGTGCACACAAAAACATAACTTGGAGAAATAAATAAATACGGATATGTTATTTAAAACCACCTCGAATATGTTGTGTTAATGTTATGAAATGTTTTCTCATAAATGATGCGGTAAGCAGGAGGACAGAATAACGTCTAAACTGACGCCGTTTTGCATTTCTATAGGTTATAGATACGAGCATGGTTTTATACAGGGTTCGAGTTATAAACTGAGCTCTATGGGGGTCTTTGAAACTAACGCGTGCGCACGCATGCACGCGCACACACACTCAAACAAACACACACACACACACACACACACACACACCAATAATAAACATATGGACAGGGGTTACTATTTAAAAAAATGTGCAAATGTATTTGGGAACCTATCCATGTGAACATATTTTGGGGGTGGACCTCAAATCCTCTAGGGGCTTCCGGGGGCATGCCCCCCCTGGTAAGATTTCTTTTTAATTTTGGAGTTAAATGCATCAATCTGGTGCATTTTGAGGGGAAAATAAAGAGACTAGATCTATGGAAACACCCATATGAAACAGATGCCACATCATGTAGACAGACAGTCACCCTGTGTGAGGCAAACCCACATTTGCGCAGCGTTGCGTTCACAATAGAACGCATTTTTCCTACATAAAAATTAAAAAAATCGCTAGGCCATCGGGAAACCTCCCGGCCCTCCCGATGGCCAGTCCGGGCCTGCCAGCAGCCCTCTACTTGCTACAAACTTAAATATGAAATCATAGCCGTGGGAACATGTTTCAAATGGGGGGTGCTGTGGGGTAGACACCAGGGCCGGTTCTGACCAATTTGCTGTTATACAAGAGGTAGATAATAGCTGTACAGTCTGTACTTTTTTTTAATGAGCCACATGCCATGATGCACCAACATAATTGTATTATTTAGACTGACATTAAGAAGTTGAATCAACTAATACAGGGCGAGAGAGAGAGAGAGAGAGAGAGAGAGAGAGAGAGAGAGAGAGAGGAGATAGAGAGAGAGAGAGAGAGAAGAGAGAGAGAGAGAGAGAGAGAGAGAAGAGATAGAGAGATAGAGAGAGAGAGTAGAAGAGATAAGAGAGAGAATAAGATCTAGACACGCTATGCTATGAGAGATGAAGAGGAGAGACGTGAGAGAGACAAAGTGATATGAGTGATAGTGAAACGTTTTTTTTAACTTTCATTTAGCAAAAAATAGCGTGAAACTTTACATGGAAGTTCCAAAGTAACTTCCTGAAATGTAATTGTCTGCGGTGATTCTACGGAGTCCCCAAAGGCCCAAAATTGTGCACACAAAACATATTTTCGGCTGCCCGGGCATAAGGAAGTTGCTCTACTTATGAAATCTCTGTTAGTTTAAACTCCCACTTCACTACTTTACATTCAAAACAAATAGCTTATAAAATGTGGCACGGCATTATTCATAAAGCTACATATTAGTCTATAAAATAGTTACATCATACACATACCGGGCCGGCTAAAATGATTGGTCCTACTTTTTACAGTATTACAGCTTCCACAGATGAAATTTTTGTATGGATTTTTTGTCAAAGCACTTAAGATATTCATTGCTATCGGGATGTTAAGAGCATTCCATGGAATATAACAAAAAGTGTATCTCGAGCCGGTTTCTCAAACTTACCTACCCAACCTTTAACGTAAATAATACTCATTACATTGACACATGCATTATTTGTGATTAAAATAATGGTTGTTGGTAATGTATTAGCGACCCCCACAGATGTATGATTTCACTGCGTCCGTGGGAGGTCAGACCAAGCCCCCAGGAAGTGCGCCGGACTCTGATGAAAATATTCGTGCTGGCCAAACGGCGGTACTACACTTCCTTTTGGTTGCCAGGCCCGGAAACACTTTTTCCCATTGACTTACATGGGGAAAGAGTGGTCTGTAAATCGTTGGATAATTTTTTTTAAACTAAATAAACTACCCAGTATGAACACTTGTATAGCCCTTATTAAAAACATTCGTTCCTCAAGTTGTAAAATGTGCTAATAACGTTATTCTGAGAGTTATTTCCCTCTGCATTATGAACGCGCATCTAACCCACGGGACCGCGCCGCCCGGCACGTTCATGTTACGTGTTCAGCACTACATGCGTTTATCTTTACCCATGGATGCACAATAAGAACGGACCCATATCGCCTTACTGCCAGCCCACGGAGCTGTAATAATGGATATATTGCACATGTTTGCTGTAATTCATCATTTATAACATATTATACTACATGGGCTGTATGATTAAATCTTGTACCGTAAATGTTGTATTAAATAAAGTTAATATTACCGACGTAGATTAACGTCCCTGTAGCTTCTTATTGCACTAAGAAGCTTATTGCACTGTGTGTATATATATATATATATATATATATATATATATACAGTGCAATAATTCTTTCATGCTAAATGAAGCTCTGTTGCTTGGATATCACTAGATCCTGTTACAGCGTAATATAAAAGTACATAACGATTGATGTGTAAATTAGCATAATTACTAGCTAACCGCTAGCTGCTAACTGCCGCCTCGTTAATATCAAATCTATCATAACAAACATTACCATGCTGTCATGAACGTGCGGTGCTGTTACGTGTACGCAAATTGACGTGCTTGATGTGAACGAGCATTTTGGGGGGCATGGTTAAAGTTGCGCATGCGCTATGAGCGCACATACGGGTACTTCTCAGGCATGCCGGGTAATCTGTGACGTTTCGCTCTCTCAAAAGTTGGGCCATTTTATCATCATGCGCGAATGAGCAACTCTCATAGGAATGAATGAGGCCCCGCCTCCCACGCTGTATCCAGTTCTTATTATACATCCATGGGTCAGACCCCTCCTTATGGGAGCTCAGCTCCCATTGGCTCCCACATAACTCGAACCCTGGTTTTATATACTATCACGTTTAATCGTGTTTTATGCCGTTTGCCAAGACTTGATAAGTCGCTCGTAAAACACAGGAGGTATGGAAACTAAGAACACCATATGTGGTAAATTGTACAGCTAATATAACACAACCCATTAGTTGTATTTCCTTTAACTGGTGGATTATGGATATATAGTTGCTGATCGACAGCTGGAACACAAACCACCAAATACAACAAAATCATTCAGATCCAGTCGTCATGACTCCACTCCGGAGGGATTCCCCGATTATTTCTTACAGTTTCTCATCAAGGGGGTGTCTCCTGTCCCCGGTACAAACACACCTGAGGAAGGTTATGTGTATTTTTTTTGTCATTAACTTTTTTCGGATCACTTATTTATTTATTTTGGTGACGATCCGACCTCCATGCTGCTACTCTGGTTCAAACTGCATCCACCAAACAATATGATTTATCTCGACCTCCCCAAAATAACCAAAATCTGACACGGTGTGAGATGTCTTTTTTTAGCTGTTCTGTCCTCATTTCCTGCGATCTTCTTCATGCAGTCAGTCAAAATGAATGAATGAATGGGCGTTTCTTTGACTATTTATAGGCAAATATGGGCGTTACGTGAAGCCTGCAAAAGCTGCGCCGCATTTCGAGTCGATTGTGATTTATAAAGGGAAACAGGCGTAGGAAGTGCCGTACGCACTTCCCTCGCCGGTACGCAATGTTTTGTGAATCGGAAAATGTCGGAACATTTCTGTACCTATTTTTTTGCTTTGTACTACGTAAGCAACCTTCTCACGTAAATCCTACGCAAGGCGTTAGAAATGAGGCCCCCCATGATGAGAAACTGTAAGAAAGTATCGGGGGATCCCTGCGGAGTGGAGTCAATTCATTTTATTTATTTTATTTGGTGGTTTGTGTTCCAGCTGTCGATCAGCTGTACGCAGCGTCTCCACTGCAGCCTGTGCGTCTCAACCCCCCGCAGCAACTCTATCCACCACTTAAATGAAATAAAACAAATGTGTTGTGTTATATGCTGCCAAATCTACCAAACATATGGTGTTCTTAGTTTCCATACCTCCTGTGTTTTACGAGCGACTTATCAAGTCTTAGCAAACGGCATAAAACATGATTAAACATGATAGTATATATAAAACCATGCTCGTATACACAGTGGCGACTGGTCATTAGGGCACAGCCCCACCTAGTGTCAGCAGAAAGTATTACAAATAATGATTACAAAAAATGCAAAAAAAAATATATATATATATAAAATATATTTTAAGATCATGTTTAATCATCTGATTTGTCTGTACATTGCTGTTTTAGTCTGTGTTCTTCTAATTAGTGTCTACAGTGTGTGCCTATTGAGCTGTTTTGAGCCATGTGGGACAAAACCTGATCAAGCCTCTCCCTCTCACTGTCTAAGTGAACGGTGACTGTAAAAACTACACTGCGCATGCTCAGAGTATTTTCCTATTTAATGTGTGTGGCAAAAAAATAATGACCATAGGGGCACTGAGCTTCCATCCCCACCATACGTCATCTCACATAATTCAGAGCTGATTGGCTGTAAGTACGTGTGCCGCGAAAAGTGTGGTGTGTGAAGAGGAGACGAGAGAGCTGGAGTGACGCGTCCTACAACCAGGAAGTAAGCTGCGCATGGCTTCCCTCGACAAAAAAGCAATGAGATTTCTCCATAGGATTTTAGAAAATAGTTCGAAATAAGATCTGTGGGAAACGTACCTGTTAGATAAATGCACATTTTGTTCAGCCGGATAATATCCACATGTCTACCCTACTTTTATAATTTTTGAATCATAAATCTATCGATTAGATTTATGATAGACTTTTGAAACTACAAGAACATAAGGAGGACTTTTACAAAAAAGTAATAGAAATGTTTGTCCAGAAGGATAGGCAAATGGACTTCATCTTCAAGTCAAGGTAAGACCGCCATTTGATTGAAAATGGGATCTTACTAAGAGAGAACAATTCAATATTTAAATGATAAAATTACATTTTTTGGGTATCCTTTTGTTGAACTGTCTGTTTAAAATTAATCGAAGCATCAGACAAAAAAAGCTTTTGAAAATAATATTATATTTTGGTTTAGGTCAAAATATAATATTTGTAAACCTGAAGAGTCAGTGGCAGTGCCTCACCAGCCATGAACCTCACTGCAGAAGCTTATATATAGACATCTAAGTTTTTTGTGCCCCACCACTTTTGTACATATAAAGACGCCACTGCGTATACAACCTATAGAAAAGCAAAACGGCCTCAGTTTAGACGTAATTCTGTCCTTCTGCTTACCGCATCATTTATGAGAATACATGTCATAACATTAAGACAACATATTTTAGGTGGTTTTCAATAACATCTGTATTTATTTATTTCTCCGAATTATGTTTTTGTGTGCACTGAGGAGTCGCAAACAGGCGTTTGTTTAATCATTTTAAGATTGGCTTTAATCAATTTTTGCAAATTAATTCTTCATATATGATAAATGAGAGGTAACATTTTATTTATGGTATTATTTCCACATATTTCTCTCCATTCTTCCTTCTGCCAACGATGTCGCAGTTTCTCGTCTCTCCTGTTTTTGTGCGTACCGCGTACGGATGGGTCAGTGTGCGTGGAGGACCGCACATTTTCCCGTCAAGTTTGTTTTTTATAAATCGCAAACATTGCTTAGAAACTGGCATACGCCATATTTTGAGCGCACGCACCGTTTATAAATGAGGCCCCTGGTCATAGTTTTGAAAATCATTATATGGTGAAAATCACCAGCTCAGATTTCTGGGAAGCATTACTTTTCATGCTAGTCTTCAGGGTGTTTTTGCTAACATTTCTTTTACACAATGAATAGTCGCATTTATAGGGATTATAAGCAATTTGTTTAAATCAAAGTTTTATTATAACAATCAAGTTTCTTGAATACAGGGTTTACTTATCCTTGATATGTTAAATTGTGTGATGAAGTGGGGCTGTACATCCTGCATTACTTAGGTACATGTTATAATACAACAGAAGATATTTCTTTAGTGTCAATGCACCCAGAGCTCCAGCCGGGTCAGCATTGCTCTGGTTCCTCTGGAGTCCAGTCCCAGCGCCACACATGGAGCATGTGGTCATAGAAAGAGCAGCTGGCCAGCAGACAGGACAGTGAAGGGGCGTCCTCTTTAGAGCTGAAGACAGGGGCTGCAGCAGGCAGGACAGCGGGCGCTGCAATGCTCTCTGGGATGTATCGTCCTGCATCGTCCTCCAAGGAAGTATCAAAGCTGGCTGTGGGAGATTCATACTGAATCCTCAAGTGCCCTCCGCTCTCTGTGAGGCTTTCCTTGGGTTCTGCAGCGACAGGGGAGCATGGGGCCGCTTCCTCCAGGGACAGGTGGGACCAGTCGGCTCCGTACGCCAGAGAGTTGTGGAGTATGTAGGAGGCTACCACAGGACATGCTCCTCCACTGGCCTCTGGAGAATGACATGAACACACTGATGGTTTGATCGGAAGAATTCAGGGCTGTGCTGACAATTTTACATTTAAAGCTTCTATTCAGGATCTGTTCTCCCTTAAGTTGAATCAAATGTCTTCAATTAAGCTTAAAAATGTTGGTATAGCCCTACTGTACATAAACTGCTCACTATTAGGTGAAAGGCTCCATTTCAACCACAATACATAACTTTGTATATAATGTCTCAGGTCCACTGACAGTTCCCCAGTGTATAATACCACCTAATGGATCTCCGTTCATTCTGTAATTAAGATTCAGGGGGGTATAATAAGAAGCAAGTTCAACAGATTAAGGGTTTCTTTGACTTAGCTGGCTCGACAAAACTAAAACTCCTGATGAGAGATAACGGGTTCTACAAAGCTGTTTATCAACTCTCTTTGTGAACTTGGGCTTTCCTCTTCAGGCTGTGCGTGTACTCACATAAAAAGGGGCATTTGGTGCATCATTTGACTCATGAACCGCATGAAAGGGATTGATCGCCGCTTGCTAAAAATCTAAGGTGTGTCTGTTGCAGAGCGTATTTACTATACATATGACACACCTGGGACAGCATGATGCCGTTATTGTTATTATTGCACTATTGTAATTTTGCCTGTCTTGACTGTGCTAAATAAAAGAGAGAACCAAAAGCACTGTACAAAATATCCGCTTTATTGTCAATTTACACGCTGTTCAGATACCTCATAAGAGCTGTGCGCGTGTCTTTACCGAACAACGCTCGTAAACTTTGGAGTTGGGGACTGGCTTCAGTAGAAGCTGCTGGGTCGCGTCTTCCGAGTAAATCGCCAGAAGTGCTGACACCTCTAATGCGAGCAAATACAATGGCGGCTTCACAATACTTTTCTGAGTTTTACGGGGCGTGGTTTGCAATTCGCCCAGCGATGTTAGTGTGGCCGACACACCCACGAACCATTTCCTCCTCAGGAAAGTACTACCTCTCTAGCAGGGACTATCTGGGGGTGAAAAGGTTTGCGCGAACTAGGGACTAGTTCCAGATCCTTTTTGGTGTGAAACCAAATCTCCCCCCCCTATCGGCCTAGTTCGGGGGGAAAAGTACTCCGGTGTGAAAGCGCCTATTGTGTTCTTTTTAACCAAATATCTCTCAGAGGGGCGTGGGGAGTGGCTCCTTATTTCCATCTAAAGTAACAGGGCTGAAACAGAGGGGATTATGGGATGCTACAATGCATGATCGGTTTGGTATTTGGAGCCAAACACTTCAGAAACATGTTTTGTATATATCTGAGACCTATAATATATTGATTAAAAACAGTATAGGGGACCTTTAAAGAATTTATGTAACCATTATTTTCAAAATATAACTGATTTATCATTGTGAGTATAAAACGACAGCAAATAGTAAAGATATAACTCTTTTATAAATGTACCACAAGTGGAAACTTGAATTTAACCCTTTTTTTTCAAATTCATTTTTGCTAACCAAATCACTGAAATTACTGTAAGTTTTTTCTTGATTCACTTATTGTTTGTGCTCGAGTGTCACTACACTTTAAGAATCAGGATTCCAAACCTAGGTTAACTAACAAAGTTCATAGAAACCATCCAGAGCAGGTACTTCCTCCTACACACTCACCGAGGGCCTGCTGGCAGTGGAGGATGTGGAAGTCGTTGTGCATGCAGGCGGCCAGCAGCAGCTGCTCGTGGGTCGGATGCCACTTCAGCCTCCACACTCCCCCCCCCAGCGGAGTCTCACTGAGAGGCTGCCGCATGTTCCTGCCGTCCCACAGCAGAACCTGCTCATCGTAGCTGCAGAACCAGGGAACCAGGACACAGACTTTCACAGAGTTCACACACATTCAAGGACTTTCGAGGCATAGTTCCCTCAAATTCAACAACCTAACACGGCATAGTTTGAGACACTGATCAAATATATAGTGCAAGCGAATGGATATAAATTCAATCAATTTAAATGACTTGTAGATCTTTGAAGGCCTGGATTTTACCCTCAAATTGACACATTTTAGGGATTTCACTGGCCAGTGGGAACCATGCTCACATTATGTCACAGAAATAGTGAGACCAAAGACAGGAAGCAGTGGTAGTAAACAGACAGTGGAAAAGGTCATTCTCAGATGACAACAAGTTACCACAGATAGTTAATTGGGATGTTTACCTGCCTGTTGCCAGGATATGTTCTCTGTGCGGGTTGCTGTGAATACTGCACACACCCATTGAGTGCCTTCAAGAGAACAAAGTGGAGAGTGTTATGTAGCTGGCCTCATTAATGAGATGGATGACAGCAACTTCAGGACTCACCTTTTACTGGTGAAAGTGGGGCAGGCCGGACCGGCCCTGAGATCCCAGCCTCTCAGTTTGCAATCATCACCGCCTGTTACACACACAGGGAGACAGAGTGAGGACGCATACACAGGCAAACAGACATTATCATTAGAAAAACACAGCAGTTAAAATGAGCTCCCTCCTATGCACCACAAAGGATGATTAGGCATTTACACATCCAGTAACAATAGATTCATAATTTATGATGCTGATAACAGCATTCCAACAATCTGTTCTTCTACGCACGAAATTCTTTATTATTATTCCGCCCGTTATTTTGCCGGTCTTCTCCTCCCGCATTGAACATCGCAGAAACTCCGTTCAAACATCAAAACGTTCAGCTCGGTCGGGAATCGATGGCTATTACTTTTATCATTCATAACTTTCATAATTCCAGAGATACATCCCATTTTTAACATTGAAGTCAATGGAGAAATTCTTCAGACTTCAACAAATCTTCATGCGACTTCAACTGCTAACTGTTCATTCATACTTTCAATCAGAAACCTCATTCCAACTTTAAAATGTTAGACATCTTTCTGACATTATTCGTGTAACACAACTTTTAAATCTGATTCTTACTTTTAGAGATATTAAATATTGTTCAGACCTTGGTAAAGAGGCTTTCTTCAGATTTTAACATTAACTAGAGTGCGTGATGTCACAGCTAGAGGGTAGCAAATCTTGAAATTTGCCTTCATATTATTTTTTTAAACTGCCATAATTCCCAAACCCTACATTCCTGAGACATAATTTTTCATGACAAACGTAGGAAAACATCACGTAGCTTGAAAAAGGACAAATAATTAAGCAAAATAATTAAACAAAATGCCTCTTGAGGGCATGAAGTGACAAACACTTTCAACATGTCTCCATTAAAGCCCATTGTAATTTCAGGCAATTTCCATGGAAACGCATCCCTCGCCATAAAAGACGATGTCGCTATACATTAACTCCTATGAAAATGTTCAAAAACTGCTCAAACTTCACATGTGTGCTAACAGTCCAGCCGTGAAGACATCTACGGGACAGTTTTGAGATTTCTTCAAATGCCGTTGCCATGGCAACACAATGCTCGCCATGAAACACGGTTTTCTCATAACTTCATTGAAAATGCTCCAAACGGCCCAAAACTTCACAGGTTTGGTAACCATGCAGCCATCAACGCATCTAAGCGTATTATGGGATGTCATCAAATGCCGTTGGAATGGCGGCAGATCATTCGCCATTCAAGTTAGTTCAAAAGTTTGCAGTTCAAATATTCTGCTGCTTTTCCAAGCTTTTTTACTTTCTTTTCTTCACTCATCACACATTCAAGCCCCCAGTGTTCATGTATCATTTCAATCTAAATTCTTCACTTTCTTCTTACACATTACATTTCAGCATAGCAGTTTAGCGTCAGATTTTCAGCATAAAGCATTCCCACTAGCAATTTCTTCAGGAATTGCATTCTCTAGTATAATCATACTGTATGCAGCGTGCAATTTTTGTAATATCAGTATCAGCCTGCAGTTTATGTTAGCTGATAAGTAATAGGAAGTTGCAATAGAGAAATGCTTAACATAAATCAAACCTTAAAAAATAAAAATGGTTAAACAGTTTGTTTTACGGAGAGCACATCAATGATTTTGAACTGCAAACTGCCCTGCTTGGTAAATGAAGGGAATTATAAAAATGAAAACATCGTTCTGTACAGTATGTCCTGTGTTTATGTAAAAACATGATCAACTTATGTATGATTATCAGATTTTGGTCATTTTCAAATCAACCTCTTGACGTCAGTAATAGTTGGGATCTATATAATGTTTTTCGTAAATAATAAAAGACAGAGAAAAGTAAATCAAGAATTCAGCAATATCTATTCCAAAGTACAGATTATTTTGAAAATAATGAACATCCCCAACCTGCTTTGGGACTGGGATCAGGTATATACAGTATACCACTGCAACAAGAGAGGATTAGGCACACAGGGGGAAAAGGGCCAAACGTAGAGCATGAAGTCAAATCATAAGGACATGCACCAATGCTAGAAGTTTGTTTCCCTCTCAAAAGATTGGCATCATTCTCAACTTTTCATCTATATTGAAAATTAAATAAATGGAATGGTATTTCGCACTATTATTGAATGCTTATTCTTAAAGTTTTTACCTGAATTTAAAATGGAGATTAAAAAGAACCCTGCTCCCCTTTTTTCTCCTTATTCCTGAGCCAACACTCTACACCCCAGCTTTCCTAATAATAAACATTTCTCTGGTAGCACATGCTAACAGAGACAGCTCACTCTGAGCTCTGCCTGAACAGAGGCCGCTACATCAGGGCACCATGCTGCACTGACACAAGTCTGTTGATGGAGATGTAATATTGAACATGTAACATTATCAATTCATTAATTAAGGATGTTACCTATGCTAAACTATGCAAAGATATACAAACATGCTATTATTGGTTACATTTAGGCAGGCTGACAGCCACGGGAAGAATAAATAATATCTGCGTAGGGACAGCCCTGCAAGTATGGGTTAAAAAGGAACCGTTTATGATTTGAAAGAGTGTTACCAGAGTACACCAGCTGTGTGTCCCAGTAGGAGAAGGCAGAGATCCAGGCCTCGAAGTCATGAGCCTTCCACTGGGAGAGTGAGACCAGAGCGCCTTCAGCCAGAGAAAGCACGCTGACGCAGCCCGCTGAGTCACTGCACACCACCCGCACATCACTGCTGCTCACACACACAATTAGTGATTTATTAAGAAATGAAGACATGCCGTCAGAACAACATGAACAAGTCTGTCCGAGGCAAACACATAAACACTAACCTTTTGAATTACGTTGTTCATATTTAACTGTTTAGGCAAAATCTCAGCAGAGTTTTTATTGACCTCCGCTGTCACTGCAGCGGGAAAATAATCTCATCTGCTCCATGTGTTGACCTTAGACTGTAGCTATATATAATAATAATAAATGATACAAATAATATTAATAGTAATAATATATAATTATTATTTATAATGATTGTGCTGAAACAGTGATAAGTAAAAATAATTTTCTTATATGTAGTCTCAAGAAGGTTGGTGACCCCTGTTTTAGTGTATCAGGTCATATTTTGCAGTATGCAACAAACATGTTTTTCTTGCTATTCTGACCCAAAATCTTTTGAACAGGGCAGATATGATTAAGAAGGACAAAGTTTAAGGAGCTGTGTTAGGACAAAGTATTATGTCCCAACTGCAGACATACTGCATGTAACAGTAACACGTTGTAATAGATACATAGTGATCTATTGTGATGTGAACTTTGATGGAGAAAAACAGATGCAGATAGTTTGTTACCTGTCCATTCTTCCAGTAGACCAGTCTAAAGACAGAGCCAGCCGATCGGCCCCCACCTCCAAACTGCACAGAGGGTGCAGGCTGCGGCCCCCCTCCTACTAGAAACACACATCAGTGAGTGCAGAGGACCACAACAACACAAGATATTGTCCATCTATTGGGAAGTGATCCTGGTGTTTTGTCCAATAGAGAAAACTCTGCTTTAAAATGTAACAGTTCAACACGGCCCTGCTAAACATCAGAGGCACATATGGTTGTGATGTTCTCATACTTTTGAAAGATCCATGTCTTCAATGCAGCACCTAACCTATTACGTTTCCCTGATCCATCTATTTTGTTCTTTGGCTATTTCCTAAAGGCAATGCAAGACGAGACTATTTGTATTTACGGTACGGACAACAATCAAGTTGCTATTTGGTATACAAACTCAAGCCGTCTGTTAGCAAAAACTGTATACAATGCGCAAAATCAGACACATGAAGCAACATTATAAGTGAGTTTATTCAGAGTTATGTTCAGCATTTATGAGAAAAGGGCTCATATGGACTTCTTATTGTTGGAGAAAAACTGCTTTGAATCAGTTTTAATCTCAGAGGCTGATGTATTCAGCGATCATGTGTCAAAAACTGGTTGTGATTCTACTGATGCCACATTTCTCACCTGACTGTGTGACAGTGTGTACAGCTGCAGCTCTCCGGTGGCAGCTGCCAGTCCCAGCACCGCCTCCCCTGACACCGGCACATGGCACCTGAGAACAATAGCTACAAAATGAACAGGAAGGAAGCAGACGATGAGGTCAATAGTCACAGTCGTCAAAACTATGTTATTTTACCATTTCAAATCTAAAATAGCTGCTGTGTCCATGCGCTGTAGCTCAATGAGAGGGGGGCTCATCGATCCCTCTCGCCGAAATTCAAAAAGGTACAAACGACCGGTCCGGCTCGGTGCAGCATCCTCCTCCCCAGCCTGCAGGAAGGATGTGGAAGTGAAATCATCAGTCAGACAGCAACAAGAGGAGTGACTGTAGCTCCAATATGTACTGCTGCAATACATTATATCCCAAATAATCATGTAATAAGTATGTGCAATACATTTAATTACAATAATATTTTTTTTTTTTTTAATTCGTTGGAATTCAAATGAAACAATCAGAATCAGGTGCAAAATAAGCAGATATGTGCAGAAGCAATGTTTCTGTGTACAATAACTCCTCCAAAAAAGGTTTGATGTCGTGCCTTTTTTTACAGACAGGGAATACATGACAGGAATAAAGTGAAAACAGGACAGATTAGTTTCATTAATGATAAAGTTACTCTTTTCTTAACCTGAAACCACCAATCCACATATGTAATTATATATATTAACTGCTTGTGTTTATATATATATATATACACTGTTGATATGTACACAGGGGCGGCGGGTACTATATATATTTTTGTCACTGCATCCTGGTAAAATTGTAATATAATGTATAATGTTTGTGTCTTTGACATTAGCGCTGCTATGCAGCCACCAGTGGCCTGTACTACGAAGCCAGTTCAACAGACCCTGGATATGTTTGAGTTATCTTAACTAACCCTAACAAACGAGATCTCGCTAAGCGGTCCTACGACACTGACAACTCGGTAAATCAACCCAGGGTTTCTCCGTCCAGCTGAGAGCGCGTTCGCGTGAAAGGGGCGGGGTTAGCAACATTTGACCAATCACAAACATGGACAAGCGTACTGACAGCGCAGAGTCATACTTCATTAATGAAAAGTAAACTATAATATTAGACAAATATGAAGAAGTTAAACTTTAAACATCCATGACTTAAACACATAATCCAGGATACAAGCCACATAGTTTCACCTGCAAGGTGAATACAGAACAGCTGGTTAAAAAATAAATAAACTACCGAGTGTTTGAATGCGTAGGCTACATTAACAGGTTTATGATATCACTGCCCCATCTAAGACACGAGTGGATCTGACTTTAATTACATTTGAGTCGAGTGTTTCGTCAACTTAATGTGTTGCTTAAAATAATACTTCTGCATACAGTATGTGACACTGTGAGTGTTGCACGGCCAGATACGGCTCAAGAAGCTGACTCAGATAAGGAAATATATGATATATTATGACATTATATGATTGATGACAGTGTTTCCCCTAGGATGGAGTCATAGCAGCGGTGCTAAGGCACGTGGGCACAGCATAATGTGAGCGCGGAGTGCGTGGAATTTTTTAGTGTGTGCACGTGCGAAGTGCGCCCCGCCAATTTGTTTCTATGTGTCTGCCAGCACAAGAAAGGCTCTTGAGGCCTAGTACCAGGGCCGGTTCTAGCCAATTTGCTGCCCTAGGCGAGATTTTATATATAAATGAAAAATCTCTACAAAAGACAAATACACTACAAAAACAGAAACTTATTGACATAGGTAATAGACGTCAAAATGGCTTCAAATGTATTCAGTATTGTATGAACATGTTGGAATTGGGGGGTGGACGTCCCATCCTCTAGGGCAGTGGTTCCCAACCTGGGGGGCGCCAAAGATCGCAGGGGGGGCACCAGGCCTCAGATGATTTGAGGCCAAATATCATATTTAGACTTTTTTCTTTTACATATAATTGTAACACAATACATGATTGTCACTAAAAGCCTTGTGTCTACATTACAATAAAATATAAAAAATAATTGATTAATTAATTTGAATAAAAATTCAAGTTAGTAGCTAGTATAGGCATAAAAAGACTTTATAATTCTTTGTTTAATAGAAATGTTTCTTCTGCCCGTAAAGATTCCAAACCAGGCTTTTCTGGATAAGCGCATTTTTAAAAACATAGTCATTGTCCATGCCGGTTTCAGATTATTTGTCACAGTTGCTCCGATCAGATCGGTCTCCTCCATTTTGTAGATTATTTACGACTTTTGAATCCACATCGGCAAAATCCGGCTTACTTTGAGCATGTGTTTTAAACAGTTTAATCCCTTTGTGAATTGTTTTCCGTCCTTTAATTTCTTCATACAGCGGGAATCCAAATTAATTAATCCTGAGTCCAATAACCATCAAAGTCACTCCAATAGTGCTCCTTAATTACGCTTTCATCCTCCTTTAACAAAATACTTCACATTCATCCAGTTTGTGACAGTAGTTGTAGCATTTTTTAGACTTTTAAACTTTAATTACCGCTGTTGCGCCTTTAAACGATAAACGATATTTTTGGTTTACTGTCCTATAGTATACATTGGAATGATTTCAAACCTGTTTTTATTTATCCTAATAATTATAAAAGGAGTGCCTTGGAAATATGTGTTTACATAATTTGTGGTCAAAACGTTTGAGACCTACTGAGATGACTTAGACTAAAATCTAAACCCTCAGAGTCCTTTACCTCACTGAGCCTCTCAGTCAGACAGGAGAGCTCTCCTCCACCCTGTTTGTAGAAACATCTACTTCTTATATCCGTTAGCGCTGCTAGCACCAGATTCTAATAACAACAGCGCCGGTACCGGTGATGTGATATGAATGATAAGTGCGACACGTCGGTGACTTCCCTGCATAGGCCTACGGGTCAGTGTATGTTTTGTTCATTGGATTTTCTTTTCACAAATGGATATTCAAAAACAAAAAACGACTGGATATTTAATTTTCGTTTTAAAATTGAAAAACCAAAATTGAAATACAAGGCGTTTTTCTTTATTATGGTCAAAAAGGGATTTAATAAACTTAAAAAACGGGATGATTTTCATTTTCTACAAAAAATAAAATCACTAGAAAACAGAAACAAAAAAACTAGCGTTTTTTCATATTCTGCTACCGGAAGTTGTCTTACAAAATAAGAGCGCAGATGAGGACGGTCAATCCGTGTATCTACGGTCCATTTGTTTTCACAACGAAAACAGCCAAGACACATATTGAGCCCTGAAAATGAATGTTATTAAGGGCTGTAAATATAATAGGCCTATGTCTAAAATGGACAACATTGTTAGGAGATTTAAACTATAGGCCTACAGCGATTCTGCACTGCGGTCAACTCAGCCGTCTGGGTGACCAGATGTCCCGCTTTGTGCGGTATTGCACAGCATTTTCACGACTTTTGGTGCGTCCCGCAAATTGAGACGATGTCCCGCATATTTCATTTTGATTGGCTAAAGCGCTTTTCTAAAATCTGATTTATGACATGAATCAGATGCGGAGAAAGGCCAGCTCGGTTCGCTGGCGGCCGGCACCGCCCTTTATTATTATATGTTTTAAACGGCATCATGTAAGTTGCACTGGCAGGCGACAGAGGTCCACAGTTATCACTCATCAAAGATAGCAGATAAACATGCATTATGTAGGCTACTATGGAGGGGACTCTGACAGAGGATTACTCAAAAAGTACACAGTAAGAGTACTTAATTTCATTTCTGGTAGCAGTCAAACTAGTACCGAGTCCAACAGTGTCAGTTTTATTAAGAACTTGTGGTAAAAAACTCTAGAGTATGTTTGTGCCACAAGTGGGACAGAGCTCTGTCCCACTTGTGGCTTTCTGGCACCAGGGGCCTCATTTATAACGCCTTGCGTAGGATTGACGTAGGAAGGTTGCTTACGTAGTACAAAGCACAAAAATAGGTACATACATTTTCCGCCATTTTCCGATTCACAAAACATTGTGTACCGGCGAGGGAAGTGCGTACGGCACTCCCTACGCCTGTTTCCCTTTATAAATCACAATCGACTCGTAACGCCCATATTTGCCTATACATAGTCAAAGAAACGCCCATTCATTCATTCATTTTGACTGACTGCATGAAGAAGATCGCAGTAAATGACGATAGAAAAGCTAAAAAAGACATCTCACACCGTGTCAGATTTTGGTTATTGTGGGGAGGTGGAGATAAATCATATTGTTTGGTGGATGCAGTTTGAACCAGAGTAGCAGCATGGAGGTCGGATCGTCACCAAAATAAATAAATAAGTGGTCCGAAAAAAGTTAATGACAAAAAAAATACACATAACCTTCCTCAGGCAGTGTGTTTGTCCCGGGGACAGGAGACACCCCCTTGATGAGAAACTGTAAGAAATGATCGGGGAATCCCTCCGGAGTGGAGTCATGACGACTGGATCTGAATGATTTTGTTGTATTTGGTGGTTTGTGTTCCAGCTGTCGATCAGCAACTATATATCCATAATCCACCAGTTAAAGGAAATACAACTAATGGGTTGTGTTATATTAGCTGTACAATTTACCACATATGGTGTTCTTAGTTTCCATACCTCCTGTGTTTTACGAGCGACTTATCAAGTCTTGGCAAACGGCATAAAACACGATTAAACGTGATAGTATATAAAACCATGCTCGTATCTACAACCTATAGAAATGCAAAACGGCGTCAGTTTAGACGTAATTCTGTCCTCCTGCTTACCGCATCATTTATGAGAAAACATTTCATAACATTAACATATTCGAGGTGGTTTTAAATAGCATATCCGTATTTATTTATTTCTCCAAGTTATGTTTTTGTGTGCACTGAGGAGTCTCAAACAGGCATTTGTTTAATAATTTAAAGATTGGCTTTAATCAATGTTTGAAAATGAATTCTTCATATTTGATAAATGAGAGGTAACATTTTATTTATGGTATTATTTCCACATATTTCTCTCCATTCTTCCTTCTGCCAACGGTGTCGCAGTTTCTCGTCTCTCCCGTTTGTGTGCTTAGTGCGTACGCATGGGTTAGAGTTTGCGTGGAGGACAGCACATTTTCCCGTCAAGTTAGTATTTTATAAATCGCAAACATTGCGTGGAAACTGGCGTACGCCATTTTTTGAGCGTATATCCGTTTATAAATGAGGCCCCATGTCACCTCTCGAGTTTGTTTTTTCAAATCAGCTGCTCTTCATTTTCTTCCCTGCTATATTCAATGAGTGATACAAATATTTTTGTCCACAAGTTCTTAATAAAACTGACACTGTTGGACTCGGTACTAATTTGACTGCTACCAGAAATGAAATTAAGTAGGCTACTTTTACTGTGTACTTTGTGAGTAATCCTCTGTCAAAGTCCCCTCCATAGTAGGACATAATGCATGTTTATCTGCTATCTTTGATGAATGATAAAAAGACAATTTTACCATTAGTTCTTAATGAAATTGATACTGTTAGACTTTGTATTAGTTAGCCTACTACTAACAATACATTGAAGTAATTTTACTTTGTACTTTTTGAGAAATACTCTGTCAAAGTCCCCTCCTGAGAACAAAAGCAAGCCACTTCTGCTAAGTTTGATGAGGGAATTATTTTTTGTTGCCATTAGTTCTTCGTGAGATTGATCCTGTTGGACTCCGTACTACTGAAACTACCCCCACAAGTAGCTACTATGAAGTACTTACTGTGTACTTTTCCAGTAATCCTCTGTCAATGTCCCCTCCCGAGTACAAGAATGCATGTTTTCTTTTAATAAGCGTTAAAAAACCTTTCTTCCTGAGACTGATATTGTTGGACAGAGTATTTTAAGAGGATGGTAGACATGATATCAGCAATACTTCCAGTCAGTACTCCGGCAGCAGCATTTTTACACCTTGGAAAGTCTTTAGAGACTGGCCTGGATAGCTGCTCACAAATATCCTTCAGCAAAGTGACACACTCTGTCACTCTGGTTGCCCTCTTATGATGCTGCTTACTTCCATCAGTCCCAGTCAACGCCTCCAGCACACTTCCAGTCTCTGACTCCATATGATATTCTCCTGATGCTGTATACAAGGGTGATGCCCCATGATCACAACATGATACCTCTAGAGTCTGAGTGCCAAGGACCTCATATTATGTCTGTCATTAATGTTACATCACCCATTATAACAGTTTTCTTTTCTTTTTTCTCTTCTCTTGTCTTTAAGTATAATACAATGTAAAGTCCTTTTCCTGCACCATTTTAAGGCTTCATAACAGGCATTTTTACTGTATGTGTTTGGAGAAATTACACAATCAATGGCCCAGAATTGTACTTTATAAACTATGAATCTTGTGGTGCTTGAAGAAATACACACTGGCTAAGCCGGCCAGGTTATATATATATTAGGGCTGTCAAGTTAACGCGTTAATAACGCGTTAACGCAAAAAAAAATTAACGCCACTAATTATTTTAACGCGATTAACGCATGTGTATTTTTTGTCCTCGGCCGCCGTAGTTTCAGAGCGCATCGAGTTTAAAATACCATCTACAAGCTGATGCTGACAGCCCCGCTCCTGCTGCCCGCTTGTGGCAGACCACACTTCCACGCTCACCGGCAGGCCCGGACTGGCCATCGGGAGGACCGGGAGGGTGTGTGTATGTGTGGCGCGAGCGAAGCACACCTTACGTGTTGTTGTTAGCATCTGGTGCTAGCTAGCTGAGCTAACGGATATAAGGAGCTGTTTCAATGAAAACAGAGGAGCGACATTTCGCCGACAACTGCGCCGAGCACTTGACTTTATGCAGGTAGCCAGACAGCACACTCAGCACGGATAGTGCGCGCAACACAGCTCATATATGCCTTGAGCTGCACATAGCTCCAACAATCCATCACAGTGTCCGTCTGCACACACACACACACACACACACACACACACACACACACACACACACACACACACACACACACACACACACACACACACACACACACACACACACACACACACACACACACACACACACACACACACACACACACACAACACACACACACACACACACACACACACCACACACACACACACACACACACACACACACACACACACACACACACACACACACACACACACACACACACACACACACACACACACACACACACACACACACACACACACACACACACACACACACACACACACACACACACACACACACACACACACACACACACACACACACACACACACACACACACACACACACACACACACACACACACACACACACACATTATTGTATGAGAGAGGTTCCAGGTTGAATTGAGGCGAATATTTGTAATGTTCAGAGGTTGTTGTGTTTAATATTCATGAGAATATTTGTCATTGTTCAAATGATAATAAACAAACATATAAAGCATAGTTGTCCACTCATATGTTGATAAGAGTATTAAAAACTTGAAAAATATCCCTCTAAGGTACATTTAGAACAGATAAAAAATGTGCGATTAATTTGCGATTAATCGCGATTAACTATGGACAATCATGCGATTAATCGCGATTAAATATTTTAATCGACTGACAGCCCTAATATATATGTCTTTTTTGGAGCCCTTTTTTGCAATATTTATTAAAATGTCACTAGTTATTTAAACAAACCCCTATCTGAGGATAATACAAGCAACCATAAAACGCCCTTTACTGAGCCATTGAAGCCCATGAAGAATGTATCCTTCCACAAATCTTTTCATCTGCTGTCTTAATAAAGTTGCCACGTGTTTTCAAATTCAAGTTAAGGCACTATCTGTGGAAAACATTACAAATATTCTTCATTTGCAGTATTTTATTTTAAAAGTGTTCAGAAAGACTGCATCAATGATATGCTATATCTATATATCTATATAATATCAATATTGTTATTAACTTCAACCAAAGTCAATTTAAATAGCGGGCAAGACTTTCCAAGGGGTAAAAATGATGCTGCCGGACTACTGACTGGAAGTATTGCTGATATCATGTCTACCATATCCTCTTAAAATACTCTGTCCAACAATATCAGTCTCATGAAGAAAGGTGTTTTAACGCTTATTCAAAATAGCAGAGAAACATGCATTCTTGTTCTCAGGAGGGGACATTGACAGAGGATTACTAAAAAAGTACACAGTAAGTACTTCATGGTACTTGTGGGAGTAGTTTCACTACTAGCCTACTGAGTCCAACAGGATCGATCTCACGAAGAACTAATGGCAGAAAAAATAATAACAAACTCGAGAGACGGCTGAGTTGACCACAGTGCAGAATCGCTGTAGGCCTATAGTTTAAATCTCCTAACAATGTTGTCCATTTTAGACATAGGCCTATTATATTTACAGCCCTTAATAACATTCATTTTCAGGGCTCAATATGTGTCTTGGCTGTTTTCGTTGTGAAAACAAATGGACCGTAGATACACGGATTGACCGTCCTCATCTGCGCTCTTATTTTGTAAGGTAACTTCCGGTAGCAGAATATGAAAAAAACTGTAGTTTTTTTGTTTCTGTTTTCTAGTGATTTTATTTTTTGTTTTGAGAAGTAGAAAATGAAAATCATCCCGTTTTTTAAGTTTAGTAAATCCCTTTTTGACCATGATAAAGAAAAACGCCTTGTATTTCAATTTTGGTTTTTCAATTTTAAAACGAAAATTAAATATCCAGTCATTTTTTGTTTTTGAATATCCATTTGTGAAAAGAAAATCCAATGACCAAAAACATACACTGACCCCCCTACGGCAGTTTAAACTGTACTTCCTTTATCCTGTAATATGACTTGATAGCTTTAAACACGCAGGTCACCAGGCGGTGCTTTCACTGACTTGATCTCTTATCTATATAGAGATCTAGAGACGCTGCCCGGAGTCGGGCAGCGTCAGGTAAAAAAAGTTATTAGTCTTCCCAAACCTTCACGCGCCGCCTATGTATGTACAGTATATTAAGGCCCCGGCTCCACGAGGACGAAAACGGGTTGAATCCGCATATTTCTCATGCGTATAGCCCTCTAAGCTCGACGACGCCGTAAGGGAAACGTAGAAACAGACCCCGCAAACGACAACGGGTCCAAAGGTGGATAGATCTGGGAACGGAGCGCTCTGGGGGGTCCAACGGGGCCGTGGAGTCGCCTATACGGTCATTCGTTTTCATAGCCTCGCCTCTCCCCCGCAGGGTTGCTATCGTGCTCCAGTCGCTACTGACCATGCTACAGTTCTTTGTGCAACATCTACAGGAGCTCCTCCTTGAATTCAGATTATTTATCTTTATCTCGATATGGACATAAACGCGAGTGAAGTCTAATCTGACAGGACGGAGACACGCAGCTCCTGCCGCTGTGATGCAGCGGGAGCAAAACACACACTTCAAGTCAGATCATCACCCTTAGCTATTTTAATTACCTCTCAAACTACCTAAACTAGTTATAAATATGTTCATTTTTACTGTCGGGTCACTCATTACAGGATCAGCTGCTGCATGAGACAGACACTGACGCTGTCAGAAGAGAGGAAAAAGAGAGGCTCTGTGTATTTGATGATTATATATATCATTATATCGTCGTTATTCATTTGTTTTAAAGCTCAATAAATAACAATGAAGACCTTTGACCGGCACTTTTATAATTTTGTCCGGAAGATTTAAACTTTAACACACGCTGACCGGCGAAAAACTCTGCCCGGTTCTGTCGGCCCCCACCGCGGAGAATACACAGAAGTGCAGCCATGACAACCATTCTTCTTCGCTGCTTTTGTGGAGGAAGTTGCTGCTTTTGTGGAGGAAGTTACAGCGCCACGTACAGGATCGGCATATGTACTGCAGCTTTTCCAGCGTTTGGATGTAAACGGAGCCGTCTCGTGGAGCTTGACACAATCCGGTGTATATTGCGTGGGGACGGAAGGTTTTTTGCGGTTGCATTTGCGTTACTCCGATGCGTTTTGCCGTATTTGTCCTCGTGGAGCCGGGGCCTAACTGTTTATAAAAAACGTTTAAATTGTTTTATTTTAGGTGCAATGCATTGTTTACATGCTGCTGTGAAAAAAAGCAATTTCCCAATTTAGGATCAATACAGTCCTCTAATCTTATTTGATCTCATCGCTAACTCAGGTTAGTAACTCTGCCCACACAACAGGGATGGGATGTCCTGGCCCAGGACATCCCATAACCGAGGTTACAGACAGAAGTGTCCCAGGACTCCTGAGACACTTCTGTATATAACCTCGGTGTGTAACGTCACACTCACCCCTTTCTGCAGCTGATAGGTCCCACAGGCCAGGAGGTGTTGTCTGGAGGACAGAGGACACCACTCCGCCGTGTCGGCGCTCAGCTCCGTGTCAAACACCTGCAGGTTGCGGGTCCTCGACTTCCAAGCCATGGCCCCCTGCTTTGCATAACGTTACTGTGCCGGTGCAAAAACTAAAAGACAAAAGTTATCCCGTTACGTCTCGACTGTATATCGAGTACACTCAGATATATCTATCTAGTAGTACATAAAACCGTAAGCAATAGTTTAAAGCTAACTTCGAGTAAACTAAATCTGAGCTAACTGAATACTCTGTGGTATTTAGCTAGCAGGCTATAACGTTATTTCACTTGCTGGAGTATCACACAGCGCTAACTGTCAAAAGTAAATACCCTCACAGTGAGCGGATATTCAACTGGTACACAAAGATAGCAAAGTTAAGTTAACATTTGTTTAACACTTAATATCTACAGGACAATTATCAACAAAACTCACATGTGAGCCAGTTCCGAGTCGACAGCTTTTTACGTAGTTACGTCATCGTTCAGACGCAACAACATTGCCCAACCCCAATTTTAGGCACGTTTTATGTTGAAGGGCTGCACCGGAAGTTCTAGTTAATGGTCACGAACTTCATGAGTAAAAAAGTGATCTTTCTACATCCATGGTAGGAGTAGTAGGCTGTCTATATTTTAAAACTGTCTTTGTATGGCTTTCTAATTTTTAATTTACATTGCTAATGCCGCTGCCTTGAATTTTGATACATTTGATGGGATGTTTAATAATCTTGGATGTACCCTGCCAGTTCCAATATGCAGTAACATTTACAAATGTCACTGTTATAGTTTTATCGTCAGTGTACATATTAAATAAGTAATTACAATTCCCATGTGTACATATAGCTGACTAATAAAGCTGACCACGAGAGGGCATTGACTATTGTGTGTGCGTCACTTACATTTAGTCGGACATTTACAGTCGGACAGCACGTTTCCGGGAAAATATTCCAAATAAATCTTAAAAGATTTGAAGCCAAAACGCTGTTTAATGGTGGCATCTGTTGGCCAACTGTTGGTATTGCATATTTAAAAATGAAAGGCAAGACCATAAGACTAATGTAACAGTTGCCCAAGCCTTGTGTTACTGCTGTAATTTATAAGATATAACGATATTTTTTCTAAAGAAACTCGCCTGTAGTCCAATGTTTTTCTTTTAAATGTATTTGTCAGAGCGATGCGTGTTTGACGCTCCTAGGGCCATGGCGGTCACGTGATCTTTGCCGTTTGCCTGCGTATGCCACAACATCCAGCCGTGTCGAGTGCTAGTAGTCTGCTTCGAGTCAGTGTATGACCACTAGCTAGCAGATACAAACATAATGGATTTCAACGTGAAGAAAATAGCCTCCGGTGCTGGAGTGTTTTTCACGCGGGCTGTCCAGGTAATGTAACCCTCGTGCACAGTAACATGGCTGTGGTTCGGCTGATGATGCTTCCTTTCATTTTGACAGCCAGCTGTAGTGACGCTACTCAGGGACTGCTGTTGGGGCAACGCGACCATGGCTATTGCCCTGACAAGCTAACATAACGCTACATATTAGCATAGCAGGAGGATACATTACTTGATATTCAGCTTAGAACAGTCAAGGCCTACGTTTTACTTTAATTAAACACAGGCTGTCCAAATACTGTTAGCCAGATAGGCGTTTACTTGTTAATGTAACGTTATATCTTAGGCCAAGCATGTGCAGGCTACCAGTCTCTAGTAAACCATTATCATAAATCAGTTAAAATACCTCAGTAAAACATGAAACGTTGTAAACTTAATGTGTAGACAAGTTTGAGGGTGACTGAATAATGAGCTGTCGTGAATGCTGTCCCTATGCTTTCATAATAATTGATGAAAGCTTGACGCTATGGAGAGTTGTACTTGTGTGTCAGTTTGGCTGTGTTGCTGTGCCTCAGTTCACAGAGGAGAAGCTGGGCCAGGCGGAGAAGACGGAGCTGGACGCTCACTTTGAGAACCTGATGATCCGCGCAGACTGCACCAAGCTGTGGACGGAGAAAATCTACAGACAGACTGAAGTCCTGCTGCAGCCCAACCCAAGTATGCCATCACTACAGCAGTCCTATCATTAGAGCTTTAAGGAGTATTCCAGAGAAGGCTACATATTATCTCCAAGCAGAACTAACACTCTGCTGAAGTTTGCAATTTCTTGTCAGATAATTGATTTGTTTTGCAGTTATTATGGGAAATAAGTTATAGACTGCATGCCCTCTGCAGTGTACATGTTATAATGACAAACACAAAGTAATTTATTTCACATAAATGGATCCCCCTGCAAACCTGTTGTTCAACTTCAGTAACAATTTTACCACATGACGTGAGGGCAGATTAGTCATCAGGTCTTACTCGTTCAACAAGCAGAGTGCTTCTGGTAGGGATCTTCCTATTGTGTATTAATATATAGCTCTGAGGTGCTGTAAACACTGATGATCCGAGTCCTGCTGCCCTCTGTATGCCTGCAGGACAGGTCCAGTTTTTTTTTTTTAAGTTGCTGCCGGTAAAGTTTAAATAAAAGTTAGGTTCATATTATAATTCACCAAAATGTAGTATGTATCCCTTGGGTATGAAAAACGTGTTGAATAATTTTTCTCATAAAATCTCAAGGCCAATGCTCTGAATATTCAAAATGTTCATCATTTTTTAGCTCCATGTTATCGCAGTCTTTTTCACTTCATTTTGTGACACAGTGTTGTCTCTCTGTGCACAAAGGCTGATAACTGTTGATCAGCAGAATATCTTAAACCGACGGCAGGAATGTGTCTTACGTTGCATGCTTGTGCATTGTCATGCACATGCACAATACACACTAAAGAATTACAAGCCTTAAACAACTTTAAATTATTCTCAAAGTAGGCACCTCTTACCACCTGTCAGTCAGCATAGTTGCAACACATCGTGCAAGAAGTTAGTGTCAGGTTATTTGTAAGAATGCCTATAATCAAAGAGGTCAAATACTAGGCATATTATTAATCATACTGTAGTAGGTTAACAGTGATATGGAATGACATGCTAGAGAATAGGGAACTCTAACATGTTACTTTTTGATTCTCCATGCTACAGTCGATCACACTGGTAAGTATTCTGCCTCCCTATTTTAGTGCTGTGTTATGGAAACCTCTCATGTCTTTGAGTTATTAGCCATAGTAATTAGTAATTGATTAACATAACATGATCTAAACCTATTCAGATATTGGTTTGCTGCAAAATACATGTTGAAGGCTCAGGGATGAGGATAGTGGCACACACTGATTGTTGACCGGAATATGCTGTACAGGACATTAGTATTGATGCATTATACCAAAGGGGTTTTTAATGGTTTAACCTTAGCCCACTTTTACGTTGCTATAAAGCTAAAGCATGATATGCTGGTATTCTGTCCGTATAAAAAAGAAGAACAAATGTTTATCCCTGGTTTTGGGCATTTTAGATTTGAGCACCTACAAACTTAAATACGCAATGAAACCTCTGTTGCATTCCGTCAAAAATCAATCCCTTTATGACCTCATCTCTTTTGAGTAAAAAACATGTTTTGCTGCGTGTTAACCATACAGTATGAGCGATTCTTAGAATGTTTTTGATTAAGCAGAACAACCTTGCAGGAGACAGGGGCCCTTAGAGCTGACCTGTATGGAGCCTCCACCATAACGGGCCGTCTCCACGGCAGCGTTAAAAAAATCTTGGAGGTGGGCGTATCTGAAGCTTGGGGATTTTTTTGCGATCAACCAATCACATGAATCTCCCGCCCGCGACATACGAAGCCAAAAAGCCCGAAGTAAACTGGATATAAACTCCCCAAAACAGGCGAAAACATACCACTGTCTCTGCCACCTCCCTCCATGCCTGGCTCCTCCGGTTTATATCCCGGTAGGTCTGGTCATAAAGCACCGGGTGATTGATTCGCTACCGCTAATTTCTCCTCCATTTTTTGGAATATGAGGAAATGATCTGCGGGATATCTCTCCCAGCATACACGCCGTTTGATTGGCTAGAGCTTGAACTGTCAGATTTGCGTACACGGGATTTGATTGGCTGACGCTTCCTCCTCAGCTTCAAAAGTTGAACATTGTTCAACTTTGGATCTTGAAAATCCTGAGAATCTCCGCTCGCCTGCCCACAATGCATTTCGGCGAAAGCGAAAAAAAGTGACGTCACCCCATTCAAAGTGAATGGGCAGAAGCGTTTCAAGATTTTTTAACGCTGCCGTGGAGACGGCCCGTAAGACCCAGATATTTTCTTTCAAACTAAACTTAAGTGTGGTTATGTAAACTCTGATCATGATCATTTGAAGGTATTTTGGTACCTCTCAAGTCTAATGCACATCTCACCCATATCACATTTATATCTTAAGAGATGGACACTGTTTGGGCTGAGTTGGAGGTTAATTAGACCGTAACATTTTTAAGACTATATTGTTAAGATAAGAGTTGCTGTGCAGACAGTATGTTGATGTTAATGAAATAAGTTAACATTTTGCTTTGATGGGTTTTTTACAGTAGTTTATTCAGTCGGTAGTGCTTGAAATTGATATACAGTGCTGCGCATCTGGAAAGTATTCAGACCCCTTCACTTTTTCCACATGTTGTTATGTTACAGCCTTATTTCAATTTGGATTAAATTCATTTGTTTTCTCAACATTCTATACACAATACCCCATAATGACAAAGTGAAACAAGTTTTAAAATAATTTTTGCAAATGAATTAAAAATAAAACACTCAAATATCACATAAACATAAGTATTCACACCCTTTACTCCAGTGGTTCTCAACTGGTCAGGCCTCGGGACCCACTTTTTCCTTTGTCAATCAATCGCGACCCGACATTTTTGAACCACTCAAATCTATTCAACAAAAAATCGTGCTGTAATATATATACGCTTTTCAGCATACATTATTAAAGTGAAGTACAGTGCATATATGCATATGGGGGGGGGTGCTAGTGGAGCACGCTCAGGTACTACTGCGGAGCGCATAAAGCTCAGCAGACTCTTCACGTTAACGAAGGATCACTTCTAGGCTACTGTCCCTCAGCTCCTGCCTCTCTGTTGGACTCTGTCGCAGCGGGGCTACTGCGCATTAAGGAGAAGGGTCCAGCCGGTGGAGGTTGAACCTGTAGGAAGTTGTAGGAAGTTGTACTTTCAAATATGGTCAGAAGAGAGCTCGCCCAACACGCTGACGCAAGGATATTTAATCAGACATGGAGGTTTACAGAGAACAGACAACAGACAATATGGCGCACCGAGTACAGGTAATTAACGTCTTGTGGATTTAGATATAATTACATACTATTTAGGTTCTCGGTTGTTTGTCGATTTGGCTGTTTAGCGCAGTATAATTGTGTTTATTTTGCTAATTTGTATTTTAAATATTCAAGTTAAAGGAATGGAAAACATAAATAATATATATGTGTATGCTAACTGAGCGAGCATGTCCTATTAGCATACATGCTAACTGGATGAGCATGTCAAGCTAAGAGCTAAGATATACAAAAAAAAATGTCAATGATGATCATTGTGAAGGGGTGTCCAGTAATAATATACCAAACTACAGGTTAATGTGAGATTCAGAAATTAGTTTTAAAAATCATGTTTTCATGTTATAGTAGGCCTACCTTACATGAACCTGTTTGAAACCTTAATGACCCCATGATGTGATTATTTATATCTTAAAACCTTTAACAACTATATTTAGATGTTCAGAAATATCTACATTTATGTATAAATACATGTGTAGCAGTTAGACAAACATAATTAATAGATCTCATTATTACCTATTTTATGTGTACTAAAAAATAAAGTTTACTAAGCCCCCTTTTTGTTTTAATTTATTAATTAGACAAAATGATTTGTGTTTAAAGTCATATACTGTTGTGTCTCAAACGGATAGACTAGATTATTAATTAATTTGCCTAATAGTTGCTTAAAATGCTTCAATAACATTTGCAATTCTTTTTTAATCTGCCATGTACGGTATCAATGTCTCTCAGCCACCGTAGTGTCGTGTCAGGTGGGCGTGTCGTGTACTTGCTGCGGCTGCAGCTAGACCATGGCCGTTTCTCAATCGCGAGGATATTGGCTTCCAAGCCAATATTTCAAGGATGCTACGTCATCAAGTGGCACAGCAGGACCGTTCCAATGTCCAGCATACTTGGAATTCCACCGAGGCCGCGTCCTTGGTTTGGGGGAAATTTCGAGGCTGCACATGGGTAGACTTCGCGTCCTTAAAATCCCCACAATGCTTTGCGCACGGACCAATTTCTCCAAATCTGTGGTGGAAAATGTAAGCCGGGGCCTCTCATATGACGCACACCTGCACACTTGCTAGCCTGTTCCACTCTGCGTTTTCCGAATGCCAGGAAGGATTCTTGCCTAGCTTCTGAAGGAAGTGACTCGGAAGACATGTGCTACCAAGCAAGCGTCCTCGCGATTGAGAAACGGCCCATATTGGCATTAAGCAGACTCTTCACAACGACGGATCACTTCTTCTTCAAGGCAGGGAAGGCTACGCAGTACGCAGTCTACTGTCCCGCAGCTGCTGCCTCTCTGTTGGACTCCGGTACTGCACATTACTCACGAGACGTTGTAAAAAATTAAATGAGTGGGGGGCGAATGCACTAACCACTCTGCCACAGTCACCCCCGTCGTGCGGGCCGGATGAGAATGTCTGGCGGGCCGGATGTGGCCCGCGGGCCGCCAGTTGGTGGTCACTGCATGCACAGCGTTAGAAAATCGGCCCTTCAAAATAAAAGTTTGCCTTTTTTTCCCAAAAAAATAAAAATAATTTTTTCTTTTTCAATTTTTTTTTCTTCACTCACACATATGCGACCCACTTGAAACGGGTCCACGACCCCCTTTTGGGTCGCGACCCACCAGTTGAGAACCACTGCTTTACTCAATACGTTGTTGAAGCACCTTTGGCAGCAATTACAGCCTCAAGTCTTCTTGAGCATGATGCTACACGCTTGGCACACCTATCTTTGGGCAGTTTCTCCCATTCTTCTTTGCAGATCATCTCAAGCTCCATCAGCTTGGATGGGGAGCGTCGGTGCACTCTGGAGCAGGTTTTCATCAAGGATCTCCCTGTACATTGCTGCATTCATCTTTCCCTTGATCCGATTCCTGACTAGTCTCCCAGTTCCTGCCGCTGAAAAACGTCCCCACAGCAGGATGCTGCCACCACCATGCTTCACTGTAGGGATGTTGTTGGCCAGGTGATGAGCGGTGCCTAGTTTCCTCCAGACATGATGCTTGGCATTCAGGCCAAATGTGGTTTCATCAGACCAGACAATTTGCTTTCTCATAGTCTGAGAGTCCTCTAGGTGCTCCATGGGGGCTTTCATGTGCCTTTTGCTGAGGAGTGGCTTCCTTCTGGCCACTCTACCATAAAGGCCTGATTGGTGGAGTGCTGCAGAGATGGTTGTCCTTCTAGAAGGTTCTCCCATCTCCACAGAGTAACACTGGAGCTCTGTCAGAGTGATCATCGGGTTCTTGGTCACCTCTCTGACTATGGCTCTTCTCCCCCGATGTTCAGTTTGGCCGGGCGGCCAGCTCTAGGAAGAGCCCTGGTGGTTTCAAACATCTTCCATTTGCAAATAATGGTGACCACTGTGCTCGTTGGGACCTTCAATGCTGCAGACATTTTTCTGTACCCTCTCCCAGATCTGTGCCTTGATACAATCCTGTCTCTGAGTTCTACAGACAATTCCTTGGACCTCATGACTTGGTTTGTGCTCTGATGTGCACTGTCAACTGTGGGACCTCATATAGACAGGTGTGTTCCTTTCCAAGTCATGTCCAATCAATTTAGTTTACCACAGGTGGACTCCAGTCAAGTTATAGAAACATCTCAAGGATGATCAGTGGAAACGGGATGCGCCTGAGCTCAATTTTCAGTGTCAAAGCAAAGGGTGTGAATACTTATGTACATGTGATATTTCTTTTGATTATTTTTAACACGTTTGCGAAAAATTCTTTAAAAAGGTTTTCTATTTGTCATTATGGGGTATTGTGTGTGGAATGTTGAGAACATTTTCTTTTTAAATCCATTTTGAAATGAGGCTGTAAAATAACAAAATGTGAAAAAGGTTAAGGGGTATGAATACTTTCCGGATGCACTGTATGTTGGTAGGATGAGGCTAAAGCTAATTTAAGCTACAACATACATGTTTACAATATACTAAGCATATACTGTAGCTTGGTACATCTTTGATCAGGAATTTAAGAATACACAGGCTAAGCACAGGGGGCTGAACACTTTTACCATAAGTCACATGTTTACATATTCATTTAGATGTTAGCTAATTATACATCCAGCCGGCACACCTAATTAACAAAAGTCCAAAAATTACCCCTATTACTTCTGATTTGTCTTCATTGACCCTGAACACAATAACTAGGTGTTCTACTGTGTTATGTTAACCAAATACCCCTGTAATTATTTAATGTTAAATAATTACTGAGTTGTCTATGGGGTTGTCTATGGGGGTTCATATTATTATAAATGTGTGAAAAATAAACCACAAAATAATAAGTATGAGCTACAAGAAGCTAAAATGTTATCATAATTAAGTGAGTGCAATACATCAGTGAGTAGTAGTTAACTACACTTAAGTGTGTTCTTTTTGGATATATATATCGTTCTTTTTATCAGTGGAAGGTAGGGCTGTGCGATTATGGCAAAAATCATAATCACGATTATTTTGGTCAATAATTGACATCACGATTATTAAATACGATTATTCATTGACTTTGAAAACATCAATTTATTGAACTTTAAAAAAAATACAAATAATAATTTGAACAGTATCTTATAACTGTTGATTACCCTGAACGTATAATTCAACTGAAAAACCAATAAATAAAATAAATGATACATTTATATTTACATTTAAATAAATAATATCAAAATAATAAATACCAATAAACAAGATCAACAAATATTTTGGAGCGCACTTCAACAAGCTAATAAACATATATAAATATGATAAATACATATAAATGAGATCAAATGTGTTGCAGTGCACTGTCACAACCTAGCAAAGCAAAATAATCGTTTTTTCCGATTATGTTGTTTTCGTAATTGTGGCAGGCCAAAATCGTAATTGCGATTAAAATACGATTAATTGCACAGCCCTAGTGGAAGGTGTAAATAAACGTATAAATCCAAACATTTATTTTTTCCTGTCTGTGCCGCAACTGAAAGCTCTTCTTGGCTCTCTGTGTAGGTGCCAGGATTGAAGAGTTCCTCTATGAGAAGTTGGACAGGAAGGCCCCCTCCAGAAATACCAACGCAGAGCTGCTGGGCCATTACATGCAGGACGCAGCAAAGGAGTTTGGTCCAGGAACTCCTTATGGTGAGTATGCATCCAATAAAAAAAAAAGTCCAGATATTGGTTAAGTGGAACATATGTAAAGCTTTCTAACTAGCATGGTTTAAATATTACAATTTAACCATCAAAATGAACACAGTATTATTAATGGGAAAAATAATTATCGTGCAATATACCAGTAGTAGATTGGGAACAAATGTGCAAAAATATTCGTGGAACATTATGTAAACCCATATGGGCTCTTTTTTTCGCCATGTTTTCTGGATTTTATGAGCTTGGGATATTCTTACTAGTTTCCTCAGCACTTTCTTTTTGTTTTTCTAATATTTTTCCACCCCATTTATACCAATTATGGTAGACTAAATCTAAATATTAAAAACAGCTTTCAGTAAAACACATTACAGTATTATTAACAGCACTAACTAAAGCTCCCAAAATGACCAGCTGCATCAACACCTGCCTAGAACAGATTGAACAAAAAAAGAACATAACCTTCACAGAGGTGAGATAAAGCTTGTAGGAGCCAATTAGAACTCCGGGTATAAAGGTTGGAACCACTGTTAGCTGATTCGGTTCCGCTGGAAGGTCAAACTGTTTTCAACACACACACACACACACACACACACACATACAAACACACACAAACACACACACACACACAAAGGTAAAGTTAGGTTACCAAAGTTGTTGGGTTTAAGTGTCATGTTGTGTGTGGTGTTGGAAAGCTGGTGCAAGCTTAATGGACAACACTTAGTGGAAATAAATGTTAAGTGTTCAATTGGAAACAATTTGTATCAGACTTTTATTCACCTGACAAGTTAAAGTGAGTGTCAATTACATACTGTACACAAGGCGGACCCTCAGTGACTTAAAGCGATAGCTTAGCGTCTTTAGAGCTGCTGTATCTCCATTAGTTTAAGTGAGCTCTGCAATGCATGAGGAACAGTTAAAGGTCCCATGTCATGGTCATTTCTACTGATCATAATTCCATTGTTGAGGTCTACTAGAATAGATTTACATTGTTCAATGTTCCAAACTCACATTGGTTTTCTCATACAGCATCTCTGTATAGTATGTGTATTCACTCTCTGTCCTAAACGGCTTGTTGGAGCTCCTGCCCCCCCCCTCCCTATGAGCCCACTGTGCTCTGATTGGTCAGCTTGCCCACTCTGTTCTGATGAGTCCACCACCGTTACAGCGGAACATCAGTGATTATGTGTTACAATGGCGTTTGCAATGCGAAAATGACACCAGCAATGACAAACAGATGAGAATGCTGCGTGGGGTCTGGGTGCCGTGTTGGCGGGACGTTGCAGGGCTTGCTGCTGTGGACAGTGTGAGCTGTATTACTGGGGCGTTTCCTGGTTGCTGCGTGGGGTCTGCAAGACAGCGAGACACCGCGGAACTCACCTAAACTCAGCCTGAGCACACACACACACACTCACAGCCTGGCTGAGTTCAGGCTGAGAAATCCGCGGAGCCACGGCTGAGAAAAGATAAGGCTGAGTGAGGGTGTGTGTGCGAGGAGCTCCATTTGGACCTGGGTATGGTCACGTCACTATACTCAGGAAGAAGAAAATGGAAAAAGAAAAATGTCCAACGAGGCGTTCTGGGGCAGCATAGACAGGTCTTTTCTGTGTTAGAGTTTTACTCGCTACAGGGTGTACTTTGAGGGTTTGTGACTCTGCAGACCGTTTACATGCATAAAAAGTTACATAACACACAAGGGGACGGGTAATAACCGGAAAAGCATGACATGGGACCTTTAAACATGTTTAGGAGTATTTTATAAATAATTTAAATATTTTCTATAACCAATTCTTAGCAGTAGTTTCATAAAAAAGCAAAAGCTTTCAAAATGAATGTTTAAAAGGCTTCACAATAAAAGGGCACTTTATGATGATCTAGTGTAGATGATATTCTCCTCTGATTTCTTAGTGATCTTTCTTTTTTCTATTCAAGTGTTTTCTATTTGCTCTCGACATAGAATAAGTGAGGAAGAAAGTGTTATTAACTTACGAAAAACTGTGTTGTATGTCTAAGGTCCATCCATCTCTCTCATGTTCACTCCACTGTGTGTGTCAGGCAGATGGATCAGCCCTCATCCGTGCTGTGCCAAATTAAAGATCATTTTGTTCTCAGAATGTCTACCTCGGGCAAAATTCATAGCTCAATCCAGAAATCAGATCGATACAAGTTTTAGAGCAAAACTGAATTTGTCTATTGTCACTGTCTGTTTATTCACTCATCATTTCATCTGAATGTGATGTATTTTCTGTAAACAGACTGTGGGATTGCTCTTTGTCTTGCAGAAAATGTCACACTCAAATATAAAGGCGTAGTTTAAATATAAACATTTACCAAATAGGGAGTAGGTGCTTCGCCTAAATGAGCTATTTACAAATCGTTTTGCAATATTTATAGATGGAACAGTTGCCCAGGTATTTTCCAACTGGTAAACACCACAAGTTATTTATACACTTTTACATTTGAGAGGCTAGAACCTGCTCACTGGATTAACGGTTGCAGCTAAAGTGAGGACTGTTGCCTCAATGCTAAGACGTTCCTTGTTGTTGACCTAACAGTCTTGAGATTGTTACATTGGTTGATGTGGTTACTATTTTATGAATAACATTTGAAGAATGCTCACACTCATTACAGAGGAATCCATGCGCTCTCTACGTGTCATTGTTAGGCCACAGTAACTCGGCTGCAGGCTTTCTATTATTCATGTGTAGGAAGAGCCACTGAAGCATGGTTCATGTGTTTTTACAAATTCTGACAGGTCATTTCAAAAGAGCATGTCTTCACAATATGCAGAGCCAAATAATTGACTCCTTGATCTTTTTAGAAAAAATGCGACAGGTATGACGGTATGATCAAAAATAAAGGGAAACTTCAACCCAGCGTTAAATTGTGTTTTTGAGTATCACTGATGAAGTCTGTCTGTCTTTTCTTTAGCCAAGAGAAGGTGTTTTTATATTATGATGACATATACACTCGTGTTTTCTTTGCTTTGAATCTTCTGATTCCATATTGGTTCAACAAAAGTAAAAAAATAAACATACACATTATTTTTATTTTATTCATTTGTGCAAGTTTTTTAGTAGAGTCAAGAAGTCGACACAAAGCATTTGCAGCACTCGGCTTATAGCGAAGCTTAGACTAGAGCAAAACACAGACGCTGCAGACTGAACGCCTGGGAGGAGAGGACATTTGAAATAAGGACTTTGTGGTGATTGGATGAAGTCTGTTCTTGCAGGGAGTACTTTGATGGAGGTGGGGGAATGTGAAAGAAGATTAGGAGCTGCAGAGAGGGACTTCCTCCAGACGTCTGCCATCAGCTTTCTCACCCCGCTCAGGAACTTTCTGGAAGGAGACTGGAGGACAATATCCGTGAGTCTGAAACATGACACATTACACCACATCAACATTTCTCCTTTTGAACTGATCAATTGTTCCATTTAGCATCTGAACCAATGGGTCTTTGTGATGCGAGTTGTATAGTGAGGGTTCTGGTTTTCCTTTTCCCATTGTTCGCAAGCTGTCTTTCTATCTAGCGTTTTAAAGGCTCTAGTTGGGATGTCTTATATTAGTCTCTCAGATATAAACCTAAGCAGTTTGTTGTCCAGAATGAAATCTTTATTGATTTATAGTTTATGAAGTCTAACTTATCTCCCCCAGTCTTGGTATAAGCTATGTACAGTAGATGCTTACGCTCACCGGACACTTTATTGGGTAGAACTTGCTAGTACCGGGTTGGACCCCCTTCTGCCTTCAGAACTGCCTTTATTCTTCGTGCTTTCATGTCGTTTACCCCAAATTCTGACCCTACCGTCCGAATGTCGCCACAGAAATTGAGACTCATCAGACCAGGCAACATTTTTCCAATCTTTTATTGCCCAATTTTGGTGCGCCCGTGCAAATTGTAGCCTCAGTGTCCTGTTCTTATCTGACAGGTGTGGCACTGTGAAAAATGTGCGGTCCTCCACGGACACATTGACCCATCCGTACTCCCAAAGAAAGAGGAGGGATGAGAAACTGCGACGCCATTGGCAGAAGGAAGAATGGAGAGAAACATGTAAAATAATACCATAAATCAAATGAAGAATACATTTGCAAAAATTGATAAAAGCCAATCTTAAAGGGGACCTATCATGCAAAATGCACTTTTTTATGTATTATATACATAAATATGTATCCCCAGTGTGTCAGGAGACTCACGCAGCGTCAGAAAATAAAACCCTCTCTCTTTTCCTGCGTATACCCAAATCTCTAAAAACGGGGGTACAACGGAGCTGATCCAGATTTGCATCCGATATGACGTAATATCGGCGGCGGACGCACAGCACTATCAGAAACATTGCTATCAGAAACAATGCCCGACTGTTTTGGACGTAATATGGTCGGTGTTTACATTAGCATCGCTAACACTCAGAGCTAACCTGTACTAGAGAGCATGTGTGTGAAGAAGCAGGAAATGAAAAGGAACTCACTTTGTGGTATAACCGGCAAGAGAGAAAGCCTTTGAGCTCCATACTGTTTCAGAAATAATCCTTGATCTAATAATCCTTGCGTTTCATCACCGCAGCATTTTAGACAGTATCTGGCAGGTCCCGCATGAGCCGGCATAAGCTCCGCCCCCTCTTATTTTGAATTATTTTCAGTAAAAAAAAAGAAAAAGCTTTATTTTATTTTATTTTTATTCAGCCTTTATTTATACAGGTGAAAATCTCATTGAGACACAGGGTCTCATTCTCAAGAGAGACCTGTTTATACCCAGAATCAGCACTTTTGTAACAGGAAGAGAAATAGAGGGATATGAGGCATGGCTAGAATGGGTGATCTGTTTTTGTACCAAAACACTTCATAGACATGTTTTTTATATTTTTTTATATATCTGAGACGTATGCTATTGCCTAAAAATAGCATGATAGGTGACCTTTAAAATGATTAAACAAAGACCTGTTTGTTACTCCTGAGTGCACACAAAAACAATTACTTGGATAAATAAATAACTACAGATATGTTATTGAAAACCACCTCGAATATGTTCTCTTTTTTTATGAAATGTATTCACTTCAATGATGCGGTAAACAGAAAGACAGAATTACGTCTAAACTGACGCGTTTTGTATTTATATAGGTTGTATACAGTAAATACGAGTGCATGGTTTTATATACTATATACAGTAATTATGTTAAAATGTAGAACTTTGTTTTTGAACGGTCCTTTACAAATATAGTGGATTATTATTATGCCTTTCGACAAAACTTGACGGGTCGCTCCTAAAAAATAAAAGGTATGGAAACTAATTCCACCATGTATTTGGTCAATTGTACAGCTGAACACAACACATCTGTTTTATTTCCTTTAAGTGGTGGATAGAGTTGCTGCGGGGGGTTGAGATGCACAGGCTGCAGTGGAGACGCACAGCTGATTTGACAGCTGGAACACAAACCACCAAATAAATTGAAATCTATTTTGTAAACAAAGTTCCAACTCAAGGTTCAAGGTTCTTTTTTTTGTCATACGAACATAGCTACAGTGTAGTTATGCCGATGAAAATCTTAGGTCACAGGCTTTTCCAACAGTGCAACACAATAACACCTGCCTGTTTTTAAATCGCTTCTTAAAACCCACCTCTTCTCCTTAGTGTATTAACATCTTTTAGAGCGTTGCTTTTATTGCTTTTAAATTGTCTATTGTTTTAACTTGTACTTTTATGGTGTGTGTGAGCTGTGCTGTGTTACTTTTTGTATGTTTCGTTTTGTTTATTTGACTGTAGAGCACTTTGGTCTGGAGGTTTAAAGTGCTCTATAAATAAAGCTGTATTGTAATACAGATAAACAGAAAAATATAGTGCAAGTAAATAGTAAATACAAAAAGAAAAATAGTTTAAAAAAGTGAAATAGTGCAATAAGAGTCTATATGCAAGTTATTGGAATGATATATTAGATAAATAGATAAATAATTTCTAAGTAGCAGATGAATGTTATGGATGTTGTTTCAACAGTTCAGGTGTTTAGCAGTCTTATTGCCTGTGGTATGAAACTGTCCTGAGTCTGGTGGTTTTAGTCCTGATGCTGCGGTAACGCCTGCCAGACGGCAGCAGACTGAACAGTTTGTGGCTGGGGTGATGGGGGTCTTTTATAATCCGGAGGGATTTCTTCCTGAGCCGCTGGGAGTAAAGGTCCTCTATGGATGGCAGCTCCGTCCTGGTGATGTGCTGTGCAGTTTTCACCACCCTCTGTAAAGCCTTACGATTGAGGGCGGTGCAGCTGCCGTACCAGGCCGTGATGCAGCCAGTCAGGATACTGTTTGTAAATACATGTGCAAACCCAGCTTGGTTGCACTTGGCTTACTATCATTTCCTAAAAGGGAAGAACATTACGTTACATCTGAGTTACCATGTGCGTCCGGCAAACCTGTTGTGACATTTTAAATTTTGTAGCTGTTCTGTCGGCTTTTCCTGCGATCTTCTTCATGCAATCAGTCTAAATTAATATTCATACAGGACATTTCTTTGACTATGTATAGGCAAATAAGGGCGTTACTTTCAGCCCGCAAAAGCTGTGCCGCTTTTCGAGTTGATAGTGATTTATAAAGGGAAACCAAACCGCGGAGGACACGCGTCCACACTGTTTTGTATATCAGAATATTTTTGTGAGTAAGCACTTCCTTTGTTCCTACGTACGCCATCTTTTCACGTGAATCCTACGCACATTTTTATGAATGAGCCCCAGGTCCTCTTCACCATGTCTCCATGCCTAAATGCATGTAGACATGAGGATGAGAAAAAAGAAAGAGCTTTTTGAACATTAAAGCACTTTAGACACTAAATACTAATATGATTCGCAAAATGATCATCTTTAATAACCTCTTGACCATGTCTACCCACTGATTATATCATTTTAAAGTGATTGAAGTAGTCATGTTGAGTCATGAGGATGGGCTTTTATAATACATTTCTAAAAAGTATCTTTGAGAAGTTCGGTGTCCCCACCAGACAGCAATACTGTTCTTTGGGTCTGAACAATGGAAGAGTTGGTAACAATAGCCTGGCAGAGGTTGAATCTGTATTTATATTTTTGTGTCCATGATTTTTTTCTACAAAGGGTATAGAAAACCAGTTTGAGACAAAGTAAAGAGTTCCACAGGTGCAAGGCCTTATTCCTGTCAAATTTGAACGTGGCCACCAGGGGTCAGCATGGTTGCTTTACTCGTGCTGACCCCCGGTGGACAATATTTTCTCACTGTGCCATTGTGTGTATTTCAGAAAGAACGGCGTCTTCTGGAAAATCTTCGCTTGGACCTTGATTCCTGTAAGACCCGTCTGAAGAAGGCCAAGGCGGCTGAGGCCAGGTCTGCGGTGAGTCCTCGCGCAGCCACATCCCCTTTTAAAATGTACTGAAAGTGTTGCTGGCATTAACCATGACTAACCCTCTGTGTGTTCATAACCTTTGCAGTGTGACGGGGAAGTGAGTATTAAATGTGGTTTTAAGGTCTTTCAGTGTGATGCACATGTTGGGTTGTTTTTCCTTTTTCACTTGTTCTGAATTAATTATGTGTTCCATGCATTTATTGGTGACAAAAAAATATTAATCATCGGTAAAAAAACAAAGCAATGGACTGGAAAAACAACTTCGACCTGAAGTTGACACTTTGCAGAGAAAGCTTTAAACTTATTGAAGAAAATGTTACTTCATTATTGGACAATTATTCACTTATAGTCTCTATGACTGTGCTCTGTTTGGTATGCATATGTAACCTGAATATTTATCAAATGTAACTTTAATAGAAATATGTTTTCTGAACAGTTCTTTATATTGCTGCTGTGAATAAAATATGGCAGCTAAAGTGTGAAGGCATCTGTCGGAAAAATATAATAAAATCTGGTCAATAAACAAAAACTACAGAAGGTGCACATAAAGCCAATACAGAGCAAAGAGGACTGTGGAGAAGTGTCCAATACAGCCCCACTTTGAAAGACCAAAAAGCACTTTGAGTCATTCTGGGCCCTCACAAGTCTTCAGACTGAGAACACACGTACTACATGGTGTGTCCAGCAGGTGGCTGTGCAGTACCTTCAGCCACAGCAGCAAGGAGTTTGGGTTCCTTACACATTGTAATGAATCCTGCACAACATTCTATTTGAGTTGTAAGCTTTGTTTCTATTGCTCAGGCAGAAACCTAGCCATATGCCAAGAAAAGAAGATTATAATTCATCATTTTCTTCCCATTTTTACTTTGTTCTATGAAAACTAGAAAAGTCTGACTTGTATTAGCAGTTCTGTTTTCAGAATGACCATAGCAAAGTCAAACATTTTGGTGACTGCCACAGTCAGACTTTTGCTACGTTTATGCATGTTAGCATGTGCATGACAAAGCACTGCTTAGGGCTAAAAATAGAAACAAGACCTGTTTGCAGTGTCTGAGTCAAGTCAGTGAACCGGACAGATTAGTCACTAGTTTCACTGGTGCGAATGTTTACACACAGTTGTGTTGCATCATTTCTCTGCACCTTTCTTTTATGATTTCAGACACACCCAATGTTAAAATGTGCTGTCAGGTGTTAACAGGTATGCAACCACCCCCACGGCTTTGTATTTCTAAATCAAGAACAAATTGGAAAGCTTGTATTTAACTGTTTTAAATTAAAGAGAAAAATACAATTAAAGTTATCTTTGCGAGACTTTCTGACTTCTATTTAAGAAATGGACCACATAAATGACTTTACACTCATATCATACAATAGATGATATTAAATGATTCACTTTTGTATGAATATTCTGTAAAAACTGAAATCCACCCAGTGTTACTAATGCACAGATCGTATACTGTTCCATGTCATCTTACAGTGTAACTCACCAAGATCATTGTTTTATTTCTGCTGAGCTTTCTGATTGTTGTTTTTTTCTGCATTGCTCGATTCATATCATGTGCCAAAGTGTGGTCCCATGTATAAACTGAGAACACAGTAGTTTGAATACTTTACTGTTTCTGCAGACGGCTCCAGATTTTCAGGAGACCAGACCCCGAAACTATGTGCTTTCTGCCAGTGCATCTGCGGTAAGGAGTGATTATTGTAAAACAATCCTGGAAATGTTAAATAATCTTTTTAGAATAATGAAACCACTTCGGGATCAATGTGCACATTCAGAAACAGAGTGCTTTCAAACATCCTTCAGTACTGTACATCTGCATTCACTTATTGTAAATGGCTCTGAATCGGTGCTTTATTACTGTTCATGGTCCGGATGTGGTAACCTCAGAGTTGCACTCCTGACCTCTGTGTCTGATTTATGCAGGAATGCTAAATGTTGGCCAACCCTCCACATCAATGGTCTAGCAGAGCAGAAGGATGTTGTTCATTAACCAAAAACAAAACAAGACAGAGAATCTGCCATGGGAGTAGGAGGGTTAAAGGAAGTGTGTTTTGGGTTAAATGAAATATGCTGTATATAATGACCTACTATGCTCCTCCTCTACTCCTATGCAGAGATTAGCAGTTGTAGTCAGTATACCACACACACTCGCACATATTGTCCATAAGAACGTCATTAAAAAAAATATGTTCCTCTTGAGCAACATGGAGCTGTAAATATTATGACTAAGTGCAAGTTACCGTAACAATCCCTCTTACTCAAATCGTTTTATAATTAGTGTGGGGGATTCACTCATCCTAAATTGACTCAGTGTACACCACAATGAGGGGTCACCCATAGCAACTCAGCCTTTCAAACTAAATATGTGACCATTAAGAACCTGTTAAGCCCCAAAGACCCCTTCGGCGGGTCTTTTTTTTCTTTTTTCACGACACTGTGTCTCAGGGCATCTTGATATTTAAAAACCTATTAATGTGTTATACCAGATTAACGGGAAGAATCTCAGCTAACTGACGATACGAACCATTTTTACCAAAACAAAACACAAGTCTCATAAGAAGCATCTAAATGACCCCTGAGCGTAAAAATGCTAACGCATTTGGCACAGAACTCAAGATAAAGATACCCTTATTACTTATCGTAACTGCACATACAAGATATCCGATTAAAGCTGAGACTCCACAGATTATATAGGTATAGTATCATCACTGAGCGATCAGAACTCGCGACAGGGAAAGCAAACACAGACATCACAACACGTAGCATTACGGAGCAAAAACGGGACATCGTCTCACCTTAGCTGTTATTCTGATCAAAAGTCGTGTTCAATGGCATTAAAACGATAAAAACGCTGCTGAGGTCCATATCCATAGGTTATACCAATGTGTCTGTCACTTTGAAAAAATTATTTATAATCCATAATTCAATTTATATGTAAAAATCGGAGAATATAAATTAGCTGCTAATGGTAGCCACCAGAGTTATCGCAGCTTCCGGTTTTGGCTACGCGTCACTCTCACTCCTCATTTGGTAACCTGTGTGTGTATGTGGGAGTTCCCCTCGATTCCATTGGCTCTAGCGGTTAGAAAGAGATGTCAATCATCAAAATCGAGCAAGGGGGGCCAGAGATATGGAAAATCCACCCAAATGACCCCAGAAGTGGGGTTTTTTGGCTAAATCTCTCTAAAAAGGTCAAATGTCACTTGTTTTGCATCAATCTTGATACAGGGTACTTATTATATGTTGTACTTTGGATTCCTAAAGCTTTTAGTCTACTAACCCATCATCCAAGGGTAGTTTTCACTATAAGTAAAAAATAATATTTGGACGGACACTATAATTTACAGTTTTTTACTATGTTCAATCTGAATTTTCTTTAAAATAAAAAACATCTATATTGATTCTGACTTTTCTACATCCAACTCACAGGTTTATCATTACTTTGAGAATAGAGATTATTAATTTAACCCTTTTAGAAGTGTAGTTATGGTCATTTGTTCTGGAAATGTCATTTTCGAGCCTGAGACTTGAAAAACAGGCTCGGGCCAGATATTTTGTGTAGCACAGACGCAAACAGAAAACAGAGAGCAGCAGCTGGTTGGATCATTTCATAACTTAATCATCTAATTAACCCCTTTCTCATTGAAACAAAGTCATCTCCAAATAAGTAAAGTAGTGGCAAAATGATATTTCAGTGTGAATATCAGGCCAAATACAGCGTTAATCCAAAAGCATTGTTTGCCTTTATTGACTATCAGAATACATTCTAAAGACATATTAGCCTACCAGTAATGAGAGAGGCTTCTGGGAATAAAACAAATAACCTTGTTATGACTTCTGTTTTTCTCTTCTTCTTTTTTTGTATGCTTTGGTCTCTCAGCTCTGGAGTGAGGAAGTGGAAAAAGTAAGTACATGAATGTTGTGAAAGTGAACTTGGTTTAGATTCCCAGTCTCCTGGCTTCAGGCCTCAGTGTGCTCTTGCAGTATTTAGTCCATCCATCTCTAAAAACAAAACTGCTTGTACCTTTAATTGGCCACACTGATTTCACTTTTGCACCAAGGCCCGGGCCCCAAAATCAGTTTCAACAGCGGCACCGACACTCTGCCAGGCAGCACCAGGAACCAGAGGCCCTTGCATCAGAGGCTGGGCATTTTAGTTGAGCAACCACAGTTCATGAACTGTGGTTGCTCAACTAAAATGCCCAGCCTCTGACAAGCCTCTGACAACTTTTTAATTGGGACATGTCCCGATTAAAAAGTTATCATAGAAGCAGCAGTGTTGAGATTGAAAAGTGGCAAGAATGCAACCACACATATTTCTACACATCATTAAACAAACATGCATGTGACATTATATACTATACATCTGATATATAATAATAATAATAATAATAATAACCTGCTATCATTGTGGCTAGGCTAACAGCATCCATGTTTACATTATTTACTGGCTATGTTTTGCCGTACATTGTCAATTCTGAAAATAACATATATATATATTTGGGGGGAAATATGCATCAGGGGAAGCCAATGAGAGAGTGAATCACTACTTTCAAGCAGCTGGAGTTAGGAAAGGATGTACGGTTCAGAACTGGGTCGCTAGTTGAACCAACTGTTAAACAAATGAACACATTTCAGTGGAAAAGTGCTATAAAATGCTATCCACAACAAACTGTTTTTGGTGATGAGACACACTCTAATGGGGCTTAATACATTGTAAAACATCTGACACATTGCAGTTCTGAAGCAATTTGTTTAAGCATACTGAGGCCTTAATTTGCACCCTATGGATCCAGCTCCGGTTTACTCTGTTCTGGACACAAAGTTACAAACAATTCAGCAGTATGTTTCTTATAAATGTACCTTGGTGTAAATTACACAAATGAGTATCTTCTTTTGGTAATAGGGCATGGAAAAATGTGAGACTTCATCACATAAATCACCAGGCCTATCAGGTTATTATTGTATTGTCAGCCTTTCGTTATTCATTATCATTGCTAGTCATAGTTATGCATGTCGCTAAAGAATCAGGACTTGAGATGTGGAAATGATTTAAAGAAAAACAAAGAAGGAAATATGTCACTGATATTTTCCCTTCTGTCCCAGGCCGAGCATGAGCTCAGAGTGGCCCAAACTGAGTTTGATCGCCAAGCAGAGGTTACACGGCTGCTCCTGGAGGGCATCAGCAGTACACATGTAGGTCTGACACACACACACACACACACACACACACACACACACACACCACACACACACACACACACACACACACACACACACACACACACACACACACACACACACACACACACACACACACACACACACACACACAGTGAATAAGAGACGTGTTGTCTGTCTGCAGGTGAACCACTTGCGCTGCCTGCATGAGTTTGTGGAGGCCCAGGCCGCCTACTATAAGCAGTGTGACTTCCACATGAAAGAACTACAGAAAGAGCTGAGCAGGTGAGAGTCACATGGTACAGAACGGACAAATGTCGTGGGATTCACTGGGTCAGTCATTTTTATACAATGAAAATAAGCAGTCAACTTCTAGTGTGATGGGATCACGTTCCTAACTGAGAACTCTTAACAAAGAAGCAGCTTGGACTTCCTCAGTTCTACTGTTGTCTGATTCTGTTATTTTTGGTTTGGTCAAATCTTAATGAATCCCTCTCATTGCCTCCTGCCGTCAGTTGTGATGAGAACGTGTGAGTATGGCTCGCCTCCTGTGTGATCTTTCTTTGTGTGTGTTTTGTGTTCTGACACACATTGAATTGCTTTACAATGCTTCTCAAATTCATATTCAACAAAAAGGGCTGCAGACTGAAAATCATTGCATTAGGATAATTTCCCAATTATGGAACAGAATGAGATAGAGGTCCTTGTTGGCTTTGCCAATGAGTTGTTCCTTATTTCCCTGACCATAAAAGGATCTTTGCCCACCTGCAGCAAACCAGCAGGGAATGCACAAAAGGTGGGGTTTTCTCAAATAAGGCAGTGAAAAGAGAGTTGCACAGAAAACTTGTTAGACTTGGTGCCTGTTTCTTTCCGCTGCCCCTTTGCTGCTCTTATCAACAAGAGCAAAATATATAAAATATCGCGAAGGAAAGGTTATCACCGGATGATGATTAAAATGTAGACAAACTATTCCATAAAATATATATATTTTATATAAATATTTTATTCTAACTAGTTTTATTCTACCTTCTATTGGACATTTTACTTTAACTTCTTGTTTATATGAATATCTTAATTTGATTGAATATTTGTATAATGCACATTGTCACTTGTGATGTTTAAATATTTGTATTCTATCTTTTTAAACTTTGATTTTATTTCATTCTAAATGTCTCAAAGCCCAATTCCCCCCCCCGGATACTTCAAGTCTTCTGATTCTAATATCAGATTGATGTGTTATAAATGTCCTTCCTGCTGCTAATGCAGGTGATAAAGATCAACACCCACAGTACAGCACAGTCCACTGTGGGCCTGTAGATGTCCTGCAATTGAAATAGTGTAATAATTGTGTAGGACTCAAGTTTTCTCATCAGCATTGAGTTTTGATGGAGCATGACTAATCATTTCTTCAGCCTGCGGTGTCATATGTTCCAGTGTAGACGTACTGAAGCATAACTCAAGATATGTTTGGTTTTCGGCTGTTGTGTGATGCTGTTTGTACTATTATTGTGTTCTTTTTGATCCAATATGCATGTTCTCCGCCTGCTTCCCCTCAGGCTTCCCAATGCGTTTGCACTGAGCTCCACTCACCCTGCAGCTCCGGCATCAGAAGGCAGCCCACTGGAGACGGACACTCTGAAGATAGAGGAAGTCCAGGCCCCGGCTACAGGGACCCGTAAGGCCAAAGTTCTTTATGATTATGATGCTGCTGACTCCAGCGAGCTCTCCCTTCTAGCTGACGAGGTAAGATTTCATCATCAACTGCAGCTGATGTGTTGAAAAATGGCCACAAGCCAGAAATGTCACTATGCTGATAAGGGATGATCCTTATATTAGCCCCACAGCCGGGAGTGTTAGAGCAGCCGAAGGGACAGTGGCCCATTATCCAGTGTACCGGGTTACTGGAACTCTCAGTCTGCTATCTTAGATCTGACATCATATGCCCATGCTTTTGTGAAGACACAATGTAGTCACGCAAGGCAGGTACAATTTGAACGAAGGTTTATAAATTGATCGACCGGTCCACTATCGACTTGAGTATTAAAAAGTAAATGCTGCATTCAAAATGAAGTTACACACCTACAAACCATGGTCTAAAACTTCAGACTTCCTTCATCTGCTGGCATAATGTAGTTAAACCTATTTGTACATGCTCACTGAAAACTGCGTTTCAGCATTATCCCCTGTTGTAATTAACCTTAGCATAGTTCAATAATAACAATATATACAAATAATGATGATAAGTCAAGTAAACGATATTCAAAGAATATGTATCTGTCTGTTTTTGAAGAGACTGTATACCATGGGTGTCCAAACTACGGCCCGGGGTCCGACTGCAGCCGTGATCCATATTTAATTGGCCCGCAGCTAATTCTTAAAGTCTAATGGAATATGGCCAACACATGAAACTTCTAATATTGTACTTCTTAAATATATATGTTAACATATATTGCACAGTAGTATTCATGTGTTAATACTAATATTTGTTAGAATTTTTTCTAACAAATATGAGTTGATAAAAAAAGGCCCAATAACTTATTTCCATAACCAGCTTGAAATATACCCTTCCTATTTCCCCTTATTATAATCAATCTGAGGTGTCTGATTTAAGGGAGGAGCTGCAACACTGTTAGTAACTAAATAAATGAAACCCTCTGGAGAGCTGGGATGGAGGCAGTTTGTTTCTTAAAGCATATTCAACTATCATATTGCTCTAGTCCGTATTGCGATTTTGTTCAAATGTTGGTTAATGTGCAGCCTTAATTATAACACCCTGACAAGCACATGGCACTATACCATCCCCCACTTGTATTGTCTGAAATGACATTTTCTCCTTGTTTCTGATAATGCCATGTTCTAGGGCCTCCTTTCTCCCCGTTATTTTGGCTCTAGCCATATACCTTGAAGATAAGTCTCATCAGTGACCATGCACTCTGTGTTACAGCTCATCACAGTGTACACAGTGCCAGGGATGGACTCGGACTGGCTGATTGGAGAGAGAGGAAACCAGAAAGGAAAAGTGCCTGTCACATACCTGGAGCTCCTCAGCTAAACAACACAGATGCACTGACACACATTACACACATACCATTGACTCATAAGTGTGTGTGATTACTACTGAAGCCATGGTATTTCATTTGCTTATTACATTTGACACCAACCTGTAAGTTTAAACATCACAACTCCTCAGTAAGCATTAGCAAAAAGTGTTTAAACACACACTCCCATCCCCACTCTGGAGACATTGTTACAATGTGTGCAGGAGAATCAACATTCCTTTTGGATCTGTTTGGTTGATCATTATGAGGATTTTCTCCCTTTTCTTATTTATTAACTATTTATTGTTGTGCATCCCAATAGTTCATGTAGACCTGTCGTACTGTCATTAGGGGGATTTCCATCAACATTTGAATGTGACTCCATAGACCTCATGGAGTTTGTCTTCAGAAGCAGCAGTGGGATCAAACTTGAACACATGATTCTCCTGATAAAGGGCTGATGTACTTTTGTCCTGTCTTGTCTTGTCCTCATTAAGAAGTGAAAACAAAAGTGGACAGAACACAGATTGTTGACAGACGCTTCCTTATTGTGTTGTGTTTCCTTGTGAAGTTTCCTGAAACTACCAGGTGTATTATTAATTTATAAATGCAAATGAAAGATGTGACTTCTTCCTACTTTGCTGCAGAACTACATTCTGTTCCTCCCTGTTCTTCCAATACGACATGAACAGTAAAGCATGTCTTGTATCTTTTGCATCCTGAAAAAACAAATGACATCTGCTCGCTAAAGAACACTAACAGCAGATAAAGTTTTTCATGGAGGTTTTTTTTTGCATCCTGTCATCCTCAACTCTTTGAAAACAGATTTGCCTTAACTGCTTTTGAGATGAATGTAATAACTGTGTTATCTAAAGCCATCGAGTCATGTCACTATTGTTTTGATTAGACTTCTTTTGTGCCTGGCGCACCTTTCCACAGCACTGGATGATGAATTGATTGAATTTTAAACACCATTTAAAAAAAAAAAAAAAAAAACATTAAAAATCCTCCCCTGCCCTAACTGCCTTAACATGATGAGAAAGAACTGCTAAAGGCCAAAAATGTGCTTCTCTCAACAAAATGTCTGACACTTGTACACGACTGCATGCAAGACTGCAACTACTTTTAAGCACGTGTGTGTGTGTGATTTTTGTTTGCCCGTTTTGTGTTTTCTGAGTTAACCACGATACTGTTTTGTCGCTGCCTTGTCTGTTTATACAAGTGTCTTCTGTCTTAGTGCTGCATATGCTCCAGCAGCCTGTCCGTAAGACATTGTCTTGTAAGACATTTTCTGTTCAAAAATGTTTTTACTTATACTGACTGTTGTGAGTCTGTTTACCTCATATTGTATTATTATTATTATTATTATTATTATTATTATATATTTTGTCAAAATATGTATTGCCCCTTCCTTACCCATGCTCAATGAATGGATAGTATTGAACTTAATAAAAAGTAAGATTTACTTGGATCTATTCACTTTCACAGCTGCTATATTTATTTGTCATTGACAGCCAAAAACACACTATGTTCTCTCTCTCTTATGTCCTGATCCATTTATATAAAAATCTGTCTGTAAGTCCACCGTTTCATGCCAGCCTCAGTGAGAGCAAGGAAATCCTGTAATTGTTAGGAGGCATAGCCAGAAATGAACTTGATCTTCATGCAGCTGACTGGAAGTTCCACAAGCCTGTGAGAATGTGGTTGGTTTGAGTGGAGCGGGGGAATAAATGAAAGTGACGGTGATTAGGATACGTGGGAGGCCTTTAATATCTATGAAAAGACACATAAACAGGAATAGTGAACCCATATCTGAAAGAGTAAAAGGAATGCTGGAAAAATGCTGGCTACTAATCTTGGAAATTCATGAGCTTAGTTATTTATGTATCATTAGATAAATCTTTGGTATATTTCCAACTAGACAGCTGCACATTCTACAGCTCTTAAACTTGATGCAGCAGATAAAAAATAGCATTTAGGTCTGATAATATTTCCTAATAAATCCTATGTAATCCTATTTATTATATTGCATTCCATAGGCGAGTGAACATCATACTGATGATTAATATAATGAACATTGTGAGAATTTATAGGAGGCTTATTTTAGAGCCTATGTGGACATAGCCAAAGAACACTTAATATATACATATTTAATAAATATTATGAAATAGGAGAAAATAAAATGACAAATACTAGTGTTGGCCACGATGTACCCTCCTTCACATTCTTGTTCTGATGTTTTTCATAACTGATATAGGTTGCCGCAACAAAGTTTTAAAAGTAATGCGATCAGTCCATGGATGTGACGTAACTCCACTTTACATAAATAAATAATATTTATATAAATAAATCCCTTGTCTGATAATCACTGTCATAGATTGACTATAAAGTCACGCTTTTTTCAAAGGTGGGCATTTATTTGATGAATGGCTTTTTAGATGAATTAAATCTTAAACACCTATACATAAAACCTATACACACTCTTGCCCCTGTGCGCACTCTTCCAGAATACTCTGTACTCTGTGAGACCTGTACCTTATTTGAGGCTTCAAATAAAGAACCAGAAAGACAACTCTATTTCACCATTTTATTGATTGATCATTGTGATTGTGTATCTCCACAGTATTGACTGGGTCTAAGATTTCCAGAACAAACGCTAATCTGGCTTCGTAGTTCACCCCTCTGGTTTATTACAACGCTTGAATACTCAATTAGCTATGAGGCCACACCCCTCTAAACAGTGCAACACTAAAACTGATGCAGATGGCCAGCAATAAAAACTGCCTCACAGTTACCAGTGAATCAACGGAGAAATGTGAGTATTCTTTAGAGTTCAGATACAGGCAACAACAACATTTTACACAGATTTCACCAAAAACACATTGACACAGACCACACTTCAAACACCTCCATTAGACTACTTTGTTAACTTCAGAAGCATATTGATATCTCTATGTAGGTAGCGGTTGACCACAACAGAGCCGTCCGCTAACCAATCAGAGCAGACTGGGCTCTAGTTTCAGAAAGAGGGTGAAAAGAGGTGCTGCAGCACAGGCAGTATGAGATTAAAGCATGGAGACACTACTGATATACACCTGAAAATGAGCAAAACATGTCTCTTTAACATGATGACAAAAAATGATAAGGGCAAAAAATGTGCTTTGCTCGACGTAATGTCTCTTGTTCAAGACTGCATGTAAGACTGTATGACGAAAGGGACAGGATTAAACATGTTTCCTGGAAGGAGGGATTTTTTGAATTCCTCCTTCTGATGTTTAAAATGTTTATGAGTCCAAGAGCTTTCATAGACCGACTCAGAAATGTGTGCAGACAATTGAAATAGATCCTTATCGACATAAAAATCCACCTATGTGCGGATCCACATGTGCTCCCAGGCCCTCCCTCTGGTTCGCCCTCTTTCCGCTCAACAGGACTGTGCTCAATCTCTCTGTGTTTCCCCTGTAGCAGCAGCTTGGAATGAAGATCAACCTGCCATATATTTTAAGAAACAGATGAAGTGGCTTCGCACTCTTTCCCTTCACAGTCACACACAATATCAGTATCACTACTGGGTGGAGCCCACACATCAGACTGGTTGTGCTTTCCGTTCGACAAACAACAACATGCTTACAAAAGCAACAGGACCATAAATCCTGTTTTCAAAAAACACCGCAAGTTCAATTTATTTAAAACTGTTAATCACTCTTTAGTGATCCGGGATCAACAACACAAACCGAAGGGCATCTTTGGAGGACATTTGAACATCCGTAGCCTCACACCTAAAGCTGATCAAGTCTATCATCTTCTTCATGATTCCAATTTAGATTTTCTCTGCCTATCAGAAACATGGCTTCATACCAACTCCCCATCCGCTGCATTGCATGTGCCAGGCTATCAAAGCTTTAGACAAGATCGATCTTACGGAAGAGAGGGTGGGGTTATGATTTATGTCAAAGACCATCTCAACTGTCATCAAATATGCTGGCCTTTTAACCATGACTTGGAATGTCTTGGATTAATAATGCTGTCCCCTGAAATGTCATTTGTGCTCATTGTTGTTTATCGTCCACCCTCTTCAAATAATGACTTCTACACCACATTCAAAAAACTTCTTAAAGCATGTGATTTCAAAACAGAAGTAATACTGCTTGGTGACCTGAATTGTAACTGGTTAGACAAAACAAGTAAGAAAGCCCTTAAGCAAATCACAGATAGTTTAGACTTAACACAAATGACAGAAGGACCAACCAGAATAACCTCATCCTCACAGACACAAATAGACTTAATATTAAGTAATAAACCTGAGAGAGTGGATAAAACATTTAATTTCATCACTGGAATATCTGACCACAACTTAATATTAATATCCAGAAAACTCACAAAGAAACAGTTCCACCACTCTTACAAACCTCTGGAACAACTAAGAATACCGAAAAATGAATTTGCAAACTTTGAGCAAGCTGTGCAACAGACTGACTGGGAAAGTATGCTAACTGGGAGCAGTGTAGAAACAGACAGCCAAATGTTTGCGACCAAGCTACATGATTTAGTGGAGATGTTCTCCAGACAAATGAAAAGTGGAAAAAACAAAAATAATGCACTTCCTTGGTTCAATACAGACATATTGAACTTGATGAAGGAAAGAGACTTTGCACTGAAAAGAGCACTGAAAACTAAATTAACTACTGACAGGCATAGGTTTACTTCATTACGTAACAAAGTAACTCAAACAATCAGAAAGGCCAAAGCCAACTTCTTCATAACAATAATTAATGAGGCAAAAGGTAACACTAAAATAATTTGGGAACAGATTAAAACCTTACTGGGAATCAAGCACAGGCCAAAAAAGCAGCTAGAACTAAAAGAGAATGTTAACCTAGTGCAAGACCCAGAACAACTTGCCATAGCTTTTAATAAATATGTTATCAACTCTGTAGATGAGATTGCACAGAACTTTCCCTTGAGAGCAGAACATATTATCAAAGTCGACGAAAGTAAGATGTCCTTTTGCATTCAACCCATATCGGAATTAAAAACCAAAGCAATTATTAATTCTCTTAAAACTTCGACAGCTAAGGATACATACGCTATGGATTCTACAATGCTTAAATCACTGCAAGATTACCTAGTCTGCCCTCTTACCCAAATCATCAATTCATCTGTATTACATGGGACATTCCCAAGTGCATGGAAGACTGCAATTGTAACCCCCATTTTCAAGTCAGGTGACCATCTGAACATCAACAACTACCGCCCAATTAGCATCTTACCTGTAGTATCCAAGGTGGCTGAGAAGTGGGTGTCAGAACAGCTTGTCTCCTTCTTAAACAACAGTCAATTTCAACTTCATCCCATGCAGTTTGGCTTCAGGGCAAATTATTCAACCGAAACAGCCAACTGCTTTTTTATAGAAAAGGTCAAAGCAATGGTTGACAAAGGAGGTGTTGTTGGTGCAGTATTTCTGGATCTACGCAAAGCTTTTTATACAGTCAATCATAAGGTCCTTCTGTCCAAACTGTCGGCTTTTAAATGCTCTCCATTAACACTCAGTTGGATTGAATCATACCTCACTGGTAGGCGTCAGCATGTTACCGTCAATAATCGACTCTCTCCAGCTCTAGACTTAAGCACCGGAGTACCACAAGGTTCAATACTTGGTCCACTTATTTTTACCCTATATATTAATGACCTACCATCTGTCTGTCCTGATGTGGAAACACAGCTATACGTATGCCAATGACACTGTGATATATGTGCATGCCAATACAAAGCAAAAGGCTGCTGATAAACTGACCTCAGCTTTAGTGCTGATCACTAGCTGGCTACACCGCTCCTGTCTTCAGCTTAATGTAAACAAAACAGTAGGAATGTTTTTCACAAAAAGAAAATGCAACATTGTGTCAAATATAAGCATCTCAGGTGAACATATTAATATTGTACCTCAGGTTAAGTACCTTGGAATCATTATTGACTCTAATTTAACATTCAAAACACAAGTCAAAAAAGTGACCCAAAGAGTAAAGTTTAGCCTAGCAAATTTTAAATACATAAGAAACACAATGACATTGAATTCTGCCAAATTATACATGAATGCCATGATCATGTCACATCTAACATACTGTTTCACAAGCTGGGGCAAACTAACATCTCCACACTGAAGCCACTAGCAACCCTGTACAAACAAACCCTCAAAGTACTGGACCAGAAACCTAACCGCTCCCATCACTGTACCATCCTCAACAAGCATAACATCCTGAGTTGGGAAGATTTAATAAAGTATAGGAACATCGTTCTGGTGTACAAAATCCTGCATAATACAGCCCCTCCACCTCTTAACTCATTGGTTACTCAACGTAACAACACCAGACTGACCACTAGAAGCTCCACACGTGGCGACCTATCAGTCCCATTCAGGAAGAGTACTTTTGGTCAGTCATCATTCTCGGTCACAACAATACAAAACTG